GCTCGACGGCAGGATGCCCAAGCTTGCACTCCATGGATAAGCTTCTGTGATAGTTTTAAATGTCAACTTGACCCGGTCTAACATCACTTGAGAATCTCCATGCAGTCCTGTCTAGATGAGGCCGGTCTGTGGGAGTATCCGTGGGTGGCTGTCTTGTTTGTATTAACTGATACAGAAAGACCCAGCCCACTGTGGGCGGTCCCAGCCCCTGGCTTTGGATCCTGCGTTGTAGAGTCTGCAGTGAGGGCCAGCCCAGACCACATAACAAGACCTCATCTCAGAAATAAATAAATATTCAAACTATAGCTGGTCATAGTTTCACCTGGTGGTTTGGTTTGGGCCGTTCACCTGTGAATTTAATTTCCAAACAAGTAACTTTCATTTTATTCCATTGCTATTGGTGTGTCACTAAAGATCTTTATCAAGATCTTTGGAGACAATTTATTTGCCCGAGGCTCACCAACTACCCAGGGACATGACTGACTCCTACCGATGCTTAAAGTGCATTTTCAGAGCACATATTAAATACATGAAAACATTTCTTAGGTCTTTTAACTGCATTCTTTAATTCTTTAAAGCAGCAGGAACCCAATCTCACATGAACTACAGTTCTGAGTGCCGAGGTGCGTCCATGTTTTCTAAGTGTGTGACTGGAGAATGAGTGGGAAAACCTACAAGGTTTATCTCTGAGCACTGAAATTTTCTTCCTCTTTTTTCTCCTGTAGTTTTCGGTTGTCTATACTGAATGTCAGGGAGAAAAAACTGTAATTCAAAACTATTTCCTCAAATGGAAACGTTTTAAATGGTTACACAGGCCATGGTTGATGGCATTTTTAACCATATATCTCCCTAATCACAGAAACCCTTAGGAGGGTTGGCTGCCAGTTTAAATCCATTGTAACGGGTGGTGAAGGTGCCTGCTACAAGCCTGATGACCTAAGCCCAACCCCCAGGACCACACGGTGGAGAGAGATGAACCTTAAAAGTTGTCCTCGGACCTCCGCACATGCATACATACATACATGCACGCACGAACGCGTGCACGCGCGAGCGCACACACACCACAGCACACATACCAAAACACACACCACAACACACCACACACACATACCACACCACAACACACCACACACACACATACCACACCACAACACAGCGCACACACACACACACATACCACACCACAACACAGCACATACCACAACACAGCACACACACACACATACCACACCACAACACAGCACACACCACAACACACCACACCACAACACACCACACACACATACCACACCACAACACAGCACACACACACACACACATACCACACCACAACACAGCACACACCACAACACACCACACCACAACACACCACACACACATACCACACCACAACACAGCACACACCACAACACACCACACCACAACACACCACACACACATACCACACCACAACACAGCACACACACACACACACATACCACACCACAACACAGCACACACCACAACACACCACACACACATACCACACCACAACACAGCACACACACACATACCACAACACAGCACACACACACACACATACCACACCACAACACAGCACACACAGCACACACACACATACCACACCACAACACAGCACACACCACAACACAGCACACATACCACACCACACCACAGCACACACACACATACCACAACACACCACACACACATACCACACCACAACACAGCACACACACACACACACACACACACACACTAAAAGTTTCTTAAAATGTCAAGGAACCCGAAGAACTTTTGAATGGATTATATTCATTGCCATTGACTGCACTGGAGACTAAAAGTGAGGAAAAGAAAATGTCTATTTATTAGTTCAGTTCAAATTACACCAAACTCGCTGCATGTGAACACAGTTTATAAAAACAACTACCTTTCCTCAAACGAAAGAAACTTGCAAAGAGCAGCACCGCTCTCCACTTGTGTCTGTGAGCTGGGCTCTCAGATGCTTCTTCTGTCCGTCTGCCGCGCGACACTATCTTGGCTGGCACATGTGAAGAGTCTCTGGCCCCAGTACATGTGTGGAAAAGGGCAGAAAGACTTACTAGTATCTCCCGATCTGTGTGGGAATCCTTTTCCACGACATCATAGGAGGCCCACTGTAGACACGTCCATCACAGATCTGGGGAAGGTGGGCCATCATCGCGGGCACCCAGGCTGACAGAGCACCCCATCTTATATATTAGTCACTCCACTCGATAAAAAAAAGGACATGCAGAGGGCTCTTTCCAGAATGGACACCATTAAATCTACTCACCCTTGGCTAGATGAGTCATAGGACCCCATCCAATCACACGATGGTAGACCATGTGATCCCATCATGGTCTAGGGAGGACATGGAAATAGCTTTACTGACTACCACAAGAATTGGGGAGATGGCTCAGTGGTTAAGAGCACTTGCTGCTTTTGCAGAGGACCCAAGTTCAGTTTGCAACACCCACATTGGGTAGCTCACCACTGCCTGTAACTCCAATTCAAGGATCTGATGCCATCTCCTGTTCTCCATGGGTGCTGCACACATACGGTACACACACACACATATGCATAAAATAAAAAACACACATTTAAAGACAAAGTCTAGAAGAAAGGCCATTAAAAGTTTGCACCGTGTCAGGGATGTCCCAGAGACCACGCCCGCCTCCACCTCTTGCCCAGATAGCACAGGCCATTGCCGTTGCTCCCAGTTGTCTACCAGAACCTGATGGTAGGTCCTACTGCTAAAACATCACATACCAGGGGTGCTATGCAGGCTCTGGGGGAGAAACGTCATCAGCAGTCTTACCCAGCAGTGAACATGGGAGCTGCAATAAGACCAGCCTGACAAAGTCATGCACTTGAGAGCAATAGTGACACAGACCTCATGGAGACAACAGACCACTTTGTGGTTGATTTAAGGCCCACTCCACAGGAGGAAGCTCAATCTGAGTCTGTAAATCGGACCAAAACTCCATGGCCAGGGAACTCATATGCCCCACTGAATGAACCATTATCTTGCTAAGTGAAGGTAGATTCAAGCTACACACACACACACACACACACACACACACACACACACACACACACACACACAGGCTCACAGGATATTACGGAAGAAGGGGGTAGGAAGATTCTAAGAGCCAGAGGGGAGGCCAGGACCCAAACTGTCTTCAGGACATGACAGGACCACTACACTCACAAACTAACAAAAGCTGTAGTTGCCTGCCTAAGACCAACACAGGATCGAGCCAGCTAACCTTCCAGCATGGGGAGAGAGGTGTTCACAGCCCCCACCCCCGGCTGTTAAGGCCAGTTGAGGGTTGGCTAAGGGAAGGACAGTCCATTTCCTTAGGGGTACAGTCCTAGTATGTCAGTCATGGACCAATGGATGGTCTCACACCCATGAGTATATGAGCAACACAAATTGAGCCCAGTAGGGTATTAAAAAGTAGGGTGTTAGGGGGTGGAACAGGCAGTAGGGAGTAAATATGAACAAAATACATTGTATTGTGTGTAGGCATATATAAAATTCCCCCCAAAATTTAAAAATACCTTTAAAAACACCTATACACAGCCTCTCCCCTAAAACGTTCACTATGGTGCTTAAGACTGATGTTAGTTACACATATGCACTGGGTAATGTCCACAAATATCAAAACACTAAATGCCATTCCATTAATATGTATGTTTTACATTTTATGTGTCAGAAGTTTTAAAATAATTTAAATTCTTTTCTCACTGTATTCATAAGACAAGCTGTAGCTAAGTCTACACAAACATATCTGATAATTTAAAATTTTCCCATCCCTTTTAATGTGACTACCCCTTATTTGGTGCTGCAGACCACTTTTTGCCCGTTCTTAATTCTATTGTTGTCAGCAGTGGTGGTTCAGTGGGGTACACGTGTCATTTCTGGCTGTAGGAACTATTGCTTCCAGTAATTCAGGGTTAACAGTTTAAATTACGGGATAGATTGTACAGTATCCAGGCTTTATCTTATCTATCGAGAGGAGATAATTTGTGTGTGCCCATGCATATATCAATAATACATACACTTTGTCTACATGAACCGAGAGCTAAACACTGACCGTGATCAAATTCTCTCCACTTTTGTGTGTGTACTTTAATAGAATGCAAGGCTGGAAGACTTCCGACTGGAAACCAATGGATTTGTGTTCATGGCAAGGCGCCACTAAAACCACAGAGATGAGAAACAAATAATCTATGATAAAACTAAGAGGCTTGTAACCCAAACCATGGGAAATAAAGATGAAACAGATTATCCACAACTGGCAGATGGTTTTGCCCGAGGGGGGGGTGTGTGGCAGTAAAAAAGAACTAATTAAATACTACCCCACACCCAACCGTTACTCCATCGTTTGGCTGGGATACTGGTAGGGAACTGAACCAGAGGCTGGGGTAAGACAGGGAGCTTATGTTCTCTGTGAACTTTTGTAATTGTAAACATTTTTATTAGTTGAGGATTTCATGTGTTTTAATCATACTCACTCCCCAACCCTTCTCAGACCTTTGGCACGGAGAGCAGGCCGAGCAAGCTTCAAGGAGCAAGTCAGAAAGCAGCAGTACTCCATAACCCTCCATCAGCTCCTGCCTCGCAAGGCTTCCTTCCCTGACTTCCCTCAGTGATAGACAGCCTGTGTTGGCATAGCAGCCAGGACCACCAAGTCAGGGTGGGACTACCCACGGTGAGCTGGGCCTACCTACATCAATCACTAATTATAGAAATGTCCCCACAGGCTTGCCCAGAGGCCAATCTGGTGGGGGCATTTTCTCAACTGAGGTTCTCCTGCTCAAGGGAGAAAATGGCCTGGCCTGGCAATTTTCCTGCAAATCTGATATTAGGACAAAATTTAAGGGTTGAAAAGGTCCAGGAAAGTCAGGCTGACAAGCACAAGTGTATTTAATATTAACAATGGAAGTCTCAGAAAATTAGACACCACGGCAACTCGATCAACACCACAGTTTATTTGTAAACATGTTATTTGTGTCAATAATCAAATTGACAACACTTTATACAATTGCATTGTATAATATTAACATCATGACAGAAAACAATGCACTGTACTGAGTTACAGTTTTGGTACTTTAAAATCCTCGAATACAAAGTGTATTTGAAACACAGAACATAAAAATATGAATGTGAATGGCAGCAAAAACAGAACACCCAGTAAGAGAAATCACTTCCCTCAAACAAATACAAAACCATCTGGTTACATATTTTAAACAAGAAAGGCAGTGGCTCTTCCTAACGCTGCGACCGTTCCTCATGCGGCGGTGACCCCAACCACAACATTATTTTCGGTGCTCCTTCAGAACTGTAATGTTGCTGTTACGAATTGTAACATAAATGTCTGATATGCAGGGTATCTGATATGTGGCTTCTGTGAAGGGGTTGAGAACCACTGCTCTAAGACCCAAATGGGCCTAACTTTGTGACTGACACAAGCCGCACGGTTTCAGATGCATCTGTGCGGTGAGCCTGGCCCCTACTAACCTATGCCCTTTCTGATATTCATAGCTCTTTTTTTCTTGGTGTCTGCATGTTTGCTCGCAATGGGTCAAGCTACAGTAACAGTGAGGGAGAACAATGAGGACGGTGTATAGCCTAATGGAATTAAACATTTGCAGAGTAACTGGACACAACCTCTATCAAGTCTCTTTGGCAAAGAACAAAGTCTATTTTATTTTTTATTTTTAAGCAACTTAACAGAGGCATCTTGGCATGAGCTCACTAGTGGAACAGGCCTATTCATAAAGCAAAGCACAAACACTCGCACCCTAAGACGGGACATCAGCTGGGAGTCTGATGGCCCCACTCTGCCCATTCAAACAAGAAACCAGAGATGAAACGTGTCTTGTTAGCACTGTCCCTGAAGTTCATGACCGTGGTTAGACTCCATCTCTTCCTCAGTGTTTTGCAAAGGAATTATAGCAGCAAATCACTCCCATATGTTAATCTATAAACTCAGCAATAACTGGACTCACTGCTGTAACTACAACTGTCCAATTCTTTATTAGTGTACATGTCATTAGAGTTGGCGCTCGACTGCTAATACAAGGATAAATACCTACAGTTAACTCAAACAAAGCAAAATAAAATGAGATTAAAGAGCCCTGATCAAACGAAATACTTACAACCTTCAGTTGGAACTGTAAAAGTTACATATACACATAGCCAGTAGCACTAGGAATGTACAGTATCAGTTATTGGAAAAATTAATGAGTACTTCACAGTCATAGAAATCATTTTAATATTACTATGTACTTTTCCTTTACAGACAAACGTGACATACACACAGTTCCACCCTATACAAGACAAAGTAGAAAACTAAACATTACTGCATTTACCCCAAACACAGCACCAACTGTGCTACAGGTCACCTGGTCCAAAATACTCAATTCTACAGACAGGCCATGGTATTAAATGCATGGCCACTAGAACGGTTTCAAGAAAGGCATATACTTCCAGAAGTTTGTTAAATACACACATATCAGTTGTATAAGTAACAAAAGCCATCAGCAAGACTGTCAAGCTCAGCCATTTTCAAACAGTCAAAGCCTGACCTGTTAGCTCGGGTTAGCTTCACACTAGCAAGTAACTGCCCTCTGAGGGGAGCTCAACTAACACTGCGCAATCCCCCAAGGAAGGTGACCGGAAACATCTGTTTGGTTCCAAATATTCTGACATCTGAGATTCTGAAAGAAGTAACTCCTGAAGAAGCACGAGACCAGACGGTGCTCTCCGCCCCACTGTCCCCTGAGCTGTGTGCAGAATCGCCTTGCATGGAGCTAAGTTCAAAGACAGCCCCGATGCTGCTACTGTGCAGCTCCCGACCACAACCCTTGCTTTGAAATCCAAGTCAGCTGTCCTAACAGTGCATTGGTAAAGCTACAAGACAAAGTGAGACATGCGACAGCCTCAACTGCAAGTGGAAAATAAAGTCTATTGTTCCATAAAGACTCTATGAAAATATAAAGCCCAAAGTTGAGTGACAACAGAAGTCGACATACAAACATCATTTAAAAATAGAACGTTTTCCATGAGATGTCAATGAATAGTCAGTTAAGACCTCATGAGTCAAGGTTAAGTTTCCACAACTCTGCTGACTGTCATTCCCCCAATCATGTTCACCTGACATACATAATTTACAGACATCCACAGGAACCCTTAATGCCCTGGGAGACCTCTCACTCTGGCTGCTCGCCACTTTCTAACGTGACTACCTGTTGGAGGCAGCGTTCCTTCTCCTCCTGTGATCCCCTTAGTGTAGATAACAAAATATAAAATTAAACCAGGTTATGTCTGAGAAACTAACATATAAAACTCCCACCTCAATATTCATAGTGACTGCTTACACACCTAACAGTCATCTAAAGCCTATAAAGTATATCCTTAGTTCTATAAAAGAAACGCAGATTGTCTCAAGGTACAAACGCAGCGCTGGGCAGTAAGATGTACACCAGCACGGCTTCGGAAAGCGGGGCACACTCCGAGCGCTGCCTACGGTGCAGCACGACCGCGCCGCAGCAGCAGGTGCTCTTGGTGGCTGACACTGTAAAGCCAACGTCAAGAAAGGAAAAGGCAGAACGTGTGAGCAGGAAACGGTGTAATGGAATTATTGCAGGTGGAGATTAGCAATGAGAAGGGAGGAGGGCGAGCGTCCACTCCACTCTGACAAGACGCCGTCTTTGAACACTAGGTTTTTGGCAGGAAGTGGAACTCCCGTATCAGCGCAGGACGACTGGGACAGCACACTGGGAAAGCTGGGTTCCGTGTGAAGATCCGGAGTTGAAGCACCTTCCTGAAAGGCCAAGGAATAAGAGCACTAGTTCTCATTCCTGAAAACACACGGACCCATAACCAGAGAACGTTCATAGCATGTAAGGTCCTACAGCGATATGTGCAAAAATGCATTAGAGTAAGTGCTCTTCATGAAACCAGCAGAGACGGTCTACGGGATAAAACATTAGCTCTCAGCAACTGGAGAGTCAACAGAAACAGTCACCACTCCACACCTAACAGCCGCACGCAGGCTTCTCAGATGAACCGGCCTGACCGGGATCCCAGACATCCCAGTGTCTGAGTGCGGTTCCAGAGTGTCTTCCCTGCACCGCACACTTCCCGCACCCGACACCCGCTCCTTCCCTTCCCCAGCCCCCACTCTTTCCCAGCCTCCTCTGCCTAAACAGGAAGCATGAGGCTCTGTCTTGACTCTCCTACCCACCCTCGCTGTTCCTCTAAGCCTGCCTTCAGAGCACACCCCGTCGGCTCAGCACTGAGCACGGAGGCTTTCAGGGCGACCCGTTACGGCACTTCCCGTGGCTGTGGTTGCTGGCATGACAGCACACGTGCAAGCTAGGACTGCAGGCACACCACGTGTCCTCGGAGAAGGGAGCTCAGCACAGCCGTCCTCCTCGGGCGGTTTCTAGGGCAGCTGACGACCCGCCTCAAGCCTGTGCCTCCCACACTAACAGACTCTCCTTCAGCAGGAGACACATCCCGCAACGTAGAGTCAGGCCTATTGGGCTCAGTGAGCCCTGGACCGAACAAGGAGGCCAGGCCTCGTCTAGAAGGCCAGCTCAGGGACGTGTGCAAGTCACTTAACGTGTTGGATGGCGCTGATTACAGACCTCGCTCCTGGGGAAGACTCAAATCAAACAAAAAGAAAGCCTTCTACATATTACAAAACTCGACACAATACTATTTGCATGTTTTGGGTTTGTTACCTGGAATGAGTGGACAAAGTTAAGGACTTGCAGAGAGAGTTTTCTACTGGAATGTAAGAGGCTTTGAAGGCTGCAAAAAAAAAAGGGAAAGATATTTTTAACTAAATACAATGGTAAAAAGTAAACTCTTACAAGTTAAATTTTATCATTTCAAATTATGTATGAGTATGCAACATAATAAAACAAAAATCTTTAATTAATTGCAATGCTTTGTATCAAAACTTTCTACCTGTTTTAATAGGGGCTAATCGTATATAAAGAGGAGGTCACTTTGAAACATAAAAATCTAAGTTTATATGGCGGTCTGCATAAGAATGGCTTCCACAGGCTCACATATCTGAATGCTTAGTCACCAGGAGTGGCATTATTTGAAAGGATTAGAAGGATTAAGATGTGCGGCCGTGTAGAAGTGTGTCAATGGGGTTGGGCTTTGAGGTTTCTAAAGTCCATGCCAGGCCCAGGTGCGGAGCCCCAGCCTCTGCCTGCCTGCCTGTAGCTCTCCACTGCTTTTCCAGCACTATGGCCTGCTACCATGCTCCCTGCTGCAATGATACTGGGCTAAGCTTCTGAAACTCCATGCAAGCCCCCAGTTACATGCTTTCCTTTATTAGAGTTGCCATGGTCATGGGTCTCTTCACAGCAATAGAACAGAGACTAAGACAGAAGCTACTAACAGGGAGCGGGGCATTGCCGTGATGGGTCTGACCATGCTGTTTGGCAGCAGAATGTGGACTTTGGGACTTGGGATTAGGAAAGCAGTTGACACCTTTAAGCAGGACTTATTATGGTTCCCATACTAGTGGGAACATGGAAGAAGACATTGGTGCTAGGTACAATGTAAATTAAGACTTCCTGGCTCAAAAGGTTTCAGAGGGGAAAGTTGCCTAGAGACCATTCTTGTGATATTTTGAAGAAAAAAGAATACAGCTTTTTCTGCTTGTTCTAAAATTTTTCTTGAGGCTAAATTGAAATTTCAGATTCACAGCACTGACAGGGGATTTCAGACGGCCTAGTCTTGACCGTGTCGTGTGGTTATTAGTAACAACTCTACAGATCTGTAACGAAAGGGAGCGGACTGAACAAAGAGAAACAACGTACAGTGTGAGGAGAAAGGAGCACCAGGAAGTGACTGGAGCCAAGCCCAGTGCTCAAGGAGACAAACGGTTTAAAGAAAAGCCTGACGATGAATGGAATAGAGGGAGTGGGGACCTCAGGGCAAGACCCCACCCAGTTAAGCTTCTAACTTATGAAAATGACTTTTGTGATGTAATTGAACACGGGCAACTTGCAACTCATCAACAGCAGAACTTGACACTTCAGCCACGCTCTGGATTTAGTCTTGTGGGATACCAGACCTGCTATGGAACAGAGAAGTGTGTTGTAGTCAACAAAGACGAGAGCAGTTGGAGGTCCAAAGAGTGCTTTGACATCAGACATGGTGATACATCTACATTGTGGGGTTTGCCCCGGTGGTTTTCGGTCTTGCTTTGGTCCAGTGTTTTCTCATTACTACTCTTTCCACTCACCTTGGACTGGTAATATATATTCTGTGCCATTGTATGACAGAAGTATGTGATTTGCTTTTGGATATTACAGGGTTATGGCTAAGGAACTCCCATGAGTCTTAGAGATTTTGAGCTTTTAAACAATGTTGAGACTGTGGTTAAACCGTGGGGGCTTCTGAGGATAAACGGACTGCATTTTGCATTATGCTGTGGGTACAAGCCTGTGGGGGCCAGAGAGTGGAGTGTGCTGGTCTTAGTAAGAGTGGTCCCCACTGTACCTAGCTTAGTCACCAGGGAGTGGCATTATTTGTGTAAGAACAAGGTCCAAGAATGAAGTCTCAGTCCAAGGAGTCATGCAAACAGAATTCTGAGTACTGCTTATGAGAAAATTCCAAGAAAACAAACAAAAGTCATGTGACCTCTGTTTCTTCCTGGAATGCAGCTATGGAAATACATCTACTGCAGCAGATCATTCATTCCAGCTGGCCAGTGCATCTGTTCCTGTGTCACTATAGCAACGCGTTTCTGCCACATGCAGCTTGTCCCTGTGATGGTGCACAGCTTAAACTCACGACAACTCCCTTGCGACTCTTCTTAGCCGTCTGATGCTGAGTGGACTACTGCATGAGCCCTGCAGCCACCTCAGCTTTCGGCCCTGTCCGCCCAGGTCCCCACCGATTAGAGTGGGAAGCAATTCGGAAGGATTAGAAGGGCCAGGAGCTGTGGTCTTGTTGGAGAAAGTCTGTCACTGGGGGGGGGGTGCAGCTCCAACTACTTCTCCAGCTCTGTGGCTGCGACCATGCTGCCTACCACAAGGACCATGAACTCGGCCTCTGAACTGTAAGCAAGGCCCCAATTAAACGTTTTCCTTTACAAGAGTTGATGTGGTCATGGTGTCTCTTCACAGCAAATAGAACAGTGACCAAGACAGAAGCAGGAAGCAGGGTTTATATAACCAAAACTGAAGTTATTTTCCCCCAAAAGATCTATTTAAACTGTTAATACATATGAACATCAAATAAAACAAGCCAATCAAATAAAACAAGCCAATAAAAGTATCTGCCACATTTACCACAACCCACCCATACATAAATTTCCAGATATGTTAATTAGTATAAATTATAGTGACAATCTTTGAAGTTTCATAGTACTTACACTTTTTAAAAAATGGTTGTGTTGGGAATATCTCTATCTATCTATCTATCTATCTCTATATATCTATACACACACACATACACACACACACTGCCTTCTGATTACTCTCTACCCACAATCTCGCTCATTTCCTTCCCATGGTATTTCATATGTGGTCTACTTCTTCAACTTTCCCTGGACCTTCAGAGCATCCCTGTTGCTATAAATCTGGTCAAAACCATGACAGAAGAAAGCATAGGCCTTAGAGAAGAGTGAATACTGCCGAGCAAACTGACAGTGTCAAGATGCTCTTTATATTTAAGCTTAGGCCCACACTCATATGTTCCACCAGCCTTAAAATCACAGGAGCTTCATTCCCAGGAACAGTAGCACATGCCAAGATTCGTGGCTGCGGTGAGTGCAGAGAGTAAGCAATGGACAGAGCTCAGTCCCAAGATAGCACTTATACTCTAGTACTTATACTTTCTTATACTTTTATTCTTACATGCTGTTTCAGAGAATGTTTGTTGACATTAACAGTTGAACACTCTTTTCTAGCTAACCTTCATTAAGTCAGCTGATTTAAGTCTATCTGTTGGCCAGCTTTGTTATTCTTAGCTTCTACAAAGGGGACTCTGTGGCTATCTTTCTTCCAAACCACCCCTTGTAACAACAAGGCTCAGTGACTCTTTCCTGCATTTCCTCTGAGCAGCCACTCCCTAAGGATTAGAGCTGCCATGAGGTAAACCTGCTTGTCATCTGTGAAAAGCAAAACGTACATTTCCAAAAATATATAAGATGGGAAAATATTTTTAAGTCACCAGAATTCTAACAAGCTAGTTGGAGTAGCTGTGGCCTTGTTGAAGGAAGTGTGTCACGGTGGGGGAGGGCTTCGAGGTCTCCTATGCTCAAGCTCCACCCAGTGGGGCAGACCAGTTCCTGTTAGCTGCATATAAAGATGCAGACTCGCAACTCCTTCTCCGGCACCATGGCTGCCTGCACACCTCACGGCCCACCAAGATGAAGATGGACTCTGAACTGTGAACCAGCCCCAGCTACATTTCCTTTGTGAGAGCTATCACAGTCAGTGTCTCTTCCCAGAAACAGGAACCCTAAGACAACGTGTGGGTTTACAGAGACATACAGAGAGCAACACTGAAGACAGCCTAAAAACTGAGATGAAGGTCACAAGCCCTTACCTCTCTCTGCTGCAAAGGCCATGCGTAGCTATTTTCTGACACACTTTCCGGTTTAGTTCAGAACTGAACAAAGGAATTCCAAAACACAGCTCAAGAGGAACCCAATCTTCTTCCGCTGTGGCCCCTGAAAAGACACACACAGCTTGAAACTCTGTACGAGCAGCAAGGTCTTCCGCACTGAGCCCCTCGAGCCCTCCCACCCTCGTGGCACCCACTAACTAGTGAGTTCACGCAGGGATGGACTTAAACGGGGTCATCAATCTCTGAGTGGAAGAGCATGTCTTTTGGTTATGGACGTATGTCTGGAGAAAAGACACACAGCTTCTCATTAAATGTCCCAGATAATCATTTGCTCAAAAGGGGTATAAGAGGGCATCTGCAAGATGATAACATGAATCGAGTATTTGTCACACAAATAATGATACCAAGGTCATTATTCTCAGTTATAACTTCATATTATTTCAATTATTCTAAGTGCATGAACATGTTTCTTAGAGGAATCATATAAACTCAAAAATCCACTAAAACAATAAGACAACATGCAAATAGCTGAACAGTAAAGTTAAGGCCCAGAAAGGAATCTAACAAAGCTGTAAAAGATTTTTCAACATCTTACCGGAATTTTGTTTTATTGCCGAATCTGAAGTTGCTTCCTCAATGACCATTTCAAATGACTCTGTACTCCCATTTACATCTGAACCAGACGCCAAATCAGGCTCGCCTGATAATTTAAAGGATATAAAACACTATGAGGATTCTAGTGCCCAGCAGAAATCATCAATAAGTCTTAGCACAAAGAGGACTTTGGGAAACATGATGACAGAAAAATCAATTATCAAACAATAAAAAAGTAAAATTAAAAGGAGCAAAGGAAGTATTGCTAAGGGCAGTCCAAGATACAACAGCTCTCCACAGTCAGCCACAAAGCTATCGAAAGCTGTGGCCAAGTGTTATCATACTACACATCTAAGACATTTACTCTTTCTCCCTTCTCACCAAATGAGTTAAAAATGGGAAGCAGGTTAAGAGGTGCCTGTGGCTTAAGCAGTAGACATCTGACAAATATCTAGAGACCGGTTTGTGAACGTGAAAAGGATGCGACTGATACCCACCAATACTAAGTATCTTACCGTGTGCATAAAATTTCACAAGGTCAAAATCAAACCATGACCAAAACCAAAAGTCCAAAGCCATGAAGCAGAGCACAAGTTCAGATGTCCATCATTCCTAAAGTCATCCCCATGTCCATGGAAACATGTACGGCAGTCTGAGTAGTCTTTAAAATTCTTTCCTGAACCCCTTATCTTCCAGCAAGAGATCCCTAGTCACCGTCTGTAGGCATCTATTCACCAACAATGCCTTTCTTTTGGCTAAAGTGAGCTACCCTATTTCCTGCTTTCTAACCCCCCCAAAAAGAACAGCCATCACCTTTTGACTAACTTCTCACTTTCAAAGCTCAGTTCAAACTCTACCTTCTGTAAGACACATTCCCCGTGGCTCTCAGGTTAAGACAGCCTCTCTGTCTCCCATGCACACTCCAGGAAGTCCCGTCTCCTCTCAGCCTTTAACTCTGTAGTCAGGAAGACTCATTTGTCTTCCCTACTGAGGTTTTACTCTTAGGACTAAAATTGGACTTAAAAAATTAAATGCTTCCAGGACCTGAAACAGTTAGCTGCTGTTTAAACGTCTGTGGAATAAATGACGTATCCCTGAAACTCACAGGGAGTCAACGCAATCCACTAGCTAACTGTGGACCAGAGTTTCTTGGGATTTCAAACCGCAAGGATCATGAACTACAGTCAACCAGTGAGTCACTCGACACTCGCAGACTCAGAGGATCAGAGCTGGCACCGTGGCAAGCAAAGCTATAAACCCACCTCCACGTCAGACGGAAGCCACTGCTAAGCAAGCGCTGACTGCTGTGGGCGGTCTAGAGACAGCGGAGGGGAAGCTACACTGGAAACGGTGTGCCTGTGCTTTGGGTACCAAGATCCAGACTAAAGGGAGAACTAAAAGAGAAGGGCTGGAGGGATAGGAAGCGAGCCCGGTTCAGATTCACAAGAAAAACGCCACCTCTTAGGATCTGACCCACACTACTCACAATTGCCTCTAACTCCAGTTCCCCAGGAACCAACACCCTGTTCTGGCTTCCCCAGGCACCCAGCTACAGTGTACACATACATGTGCACATAAAGTAAAAAGCTTATTGTTAAAAAGAGAGGAGGGGAAAGAAATGCATGTGAGGAGTCATTTCCAAACTTATTCATAGGATCTGTAAATCAGTGAGTCTATTTTGCAAATGTTTTAAGTCAGCACGCCTACTGCTAACGTCACTGAAAGTCTATGAACACAGACGCAATGGTAAAAGGCTGGGCCAACGGCAGTTCCATATCCCACCCAAGGTGGCATTGTCCCTTCATGAAAACCACTGAGTAACTCAAAATTTCCACCCAGGTTTGCTGTGGTTTACACACAACAACCGACTGGACTCAAACTCGGCTGTTTTAACCAGAGAGCCTATTGGCGACTCACCTCGCTCATCAGACGCGTCACTGAGCTTTCTACTTGCGAGCTGGCTGGAAGCATTCAGCATGGTGACATAGCCACAGAAGTGCTGCAAGTCCACTTTGTCCCTCAAGAGCTGCAGTGCTCTGTGGACACCCGCGCTGGCACGGGGAAACGCTGGGGACACACATTAGTGAAGCTTTAACATACAGCACAACGCCAAAGACTAATGTGCACTTGACAGTTTTGAACTGCTTTTGCATACTAAGAGAGACTGACTCCAATGGAGAAATGTAAGAAGACAGCTCTTCTCTATAAATAATCCCCACACGCTCCCATTCATGCATTCTTGTAAAGTGAAAGAAAGGTCCTGATGTCAGGATCGCGCATCTTCAAAGCAAGCATTTTGTCCTCAGAATTTAGAAAGAACCGGAGGTTAGGGAGCAACGTCATTTGTACGCACGAAAGCACACACGGAACCAAGTGCACACACATCACAAACTGTGCCTTGAGTACTCTAAAAAGGAATGTGTGTTACTCTCTCTAAGCCAACAATAAGGAAATGGCTAAAAGGCCCCACAGACAGACAGTCTTCCACCTAGAAAAATACGCACGTACTCTCTGTCATCTCCAAAGCACATGACACTGTTTCAAAGGTTCTAACAGGCTGTCTAACAGTTCACTGGCAGAAAGTCACACAACCGCAAACTACCTTCTGCCATCTCTTTTAACAGCAAAGTGGTAAAAACACAGAGTTTAATTAAAGAACTCACTTCCTGTCATTTTCCACCAATGATTAAGTCAAATGGATAGAATTCAGAAGGTACCTCCTTGTAGCTCTGCTTCATCAAACGGAAACGGTATATGGACAGTTTCTCCTACCCCATGCAAACCGTGTCCCTACAGATAGAAAGAAATCAGTGGAAAGGTGTGTGAGAAACCAGCATTTGCAGTAACTGAAGACAATACATAAAGTTGTGCCACGTCATGGCACATTCCACAATGATACCCATCAAAATGTCTTTGACAATTCTGCATCTCTTTCCAGCAAGGAAACTTACACGTTTATTAACCTCTTGGACAGTATTTTCCCAACTGAACATATGAAGGAGAAAGAAACAGGAAGGCTGACTAGTAGGTAAAGCAGACAGGTCTGAGTCAAGTGAGGACTGAGGGAGCTCTGAGAAAAAAGGAGGCGAAGAATCTAACTGGGACGCAGCACTCAGACTCCTACACAGAGAGGATGTGCTCTAACATCTACAGCTGCTAACAGCTACATTTACCGGAAGCCACCAAAATGCCTTATGGCAGAGATCTGGTTAATAAATTACAGTATGCACTTTCAGTTCAGCTGCAAAAAAGAAAGAATTCTGGATTCTCAGTTGGATATCTAATCAGCAAACAAAGAAGCACGGGGAACATCGAGCTTGCATCCGCAGGCAGCTGCAGCTGCAGCGGATCGTCTTACTTGAAAGACAAGGATTGGCCACTAGCTGGAGAAGATTAAAAGCAGAGTGACTTTGCCTCTGTGCATCTTTGTCTCCCAACTGTGGGAATGCACTAGAGACTTGAAGCGTCTGAGACTCATTCCCTCTGTAGGGGCAGTTTGCCCCATCTCCAGAACCATGGATGAGTTACTTCTTTCTGAGTTGTTGGTTAATGGAGTCCCATAGACCCCCAAGCATAACGAGCTACTGCCAACGCTCTTGGTTACGCTCCAGAAACGGGCAGTGAGACCGTAGCGCTGAAGGCACCACCTGCTTGCATCACAGCGCACTGAGAAAGCAAGGGGGTGCAGACCGAGGGGCTCCAGTGCTCCCTTCACGGTGAAGAGCGCTCTGCGCCACAACACCCTCTAGGTCATAGATCCTAGACCCTAGGAGAGAACTACTGTTCTATTAATGAGTATTAGTATTAAAACCACTCCTAATGACGTAATGCAGTATCCACAGACAGATCAATGCGTCTCCCAACCCGCATCAGAGCGACACTCTTGAAGGAGACGGCAATTAACACGGAGACTCTCAGTGTGAGAATCAAGACTTTGGATTGCTCAGCCCTAAGTGGGACGTAATATTACACCCCTCCCTTCAAGGTTCAGGAATCTATGTAAAAAGGGGTTGGTAGGAGCTCGAGGTGGTAGATGACTTCAAAAAAATAGTGTTTTCCTTACACAACAGGACAATTGCACATATGAAGTCACAACAACTGTGACAGTATACAAGACACCTAATCAAACTCCAGGAAGACAAAAGTCCTAGCATGAAGGAAGGTAAGTGGACATGAAGCCCCTAGGCAAGGAGCTACTGGCATTGCCTTTCTGCGAAGGGAGAGAGTTAGTGTATGGCAGTGTGTTACCACACTCCAGAGCAGGCCACTCCTGGGGGAGTTAGTGCATGGCAGTGTGTTACCACACTCCAGAGCAGGCCACTCCTGGGGGAGTTAGTGCATGGCAGTCCTGACCACACTCCAGAGCAGGCCACTCCTGGGGGAGTTAGTGCATGGCAGTGCTGACCACACTCCAGAGCAGGCCACTCCTGGGGGAGTTAGTGTATGACACTGTGCTGACCACACTCCAGAGCAGGCCACTCCTGGGGGAGTTAGTGTATGACACTGTGCTGACTACACTCCAGAGCAGGCCACTCCTGGGGGAGTTAGTGCATGGCAGTGCTGACCACACTCCAGAGCAGGCCACTCCTGGGGGAGTTAGTGTATGACACTGTGCTGACCACACTCCAGAGCAGGCCACTCCTGGGGGAGTTAGTGTATGACACTGTGCTGACCACACTCCAGAGCAGGCCACTCCTGGGGGAGTTAGTGCATGACAGTGCTGACCACACTCCAGAGCAGGCCACTCCTGGGGGAGTTAGTGTGCTGACCACACTCCAGAGCAGGCCACTCCTGGGAGAGTTAGTGTGTTACCACACTCCAGAGCAGGCCACTCCTGGGGGAGTTAGTGTGTTACCACACTCCAGAGCAGGCCACTCCTGGGGGAGTTAGTGTATGACAGTGTGTTACCACACTCCAGAGCAGGCCACTCCTGGGGGAGTTAGTGCATGACAGTGCTGACACACTCCAGAGCAGGCCATACCTGGGGGTGGTGGGAAACACAAACTGAACTCAGTGCGTTTGATGGAAACAGAAAGAGTAAGAGAATGAGAACGAGAGAGGATGACTAAAAGTTGGGTGGGTAGGGAGGCAGGATGGATCTAAGAGAAGGTGCGAGAGGTAAATATGTTCAAAACTATGAGACTCTCAAGAATAAAAATGTGATTTAAAAACCTCATCCCCTCACATTACAAACTGTTCATCCACCACATTCAATTAGTCTTCATTTCAATTTGTCTCAATTTTTTTCTTTAGTTCCTAGAGTTTACAGTAATATAAGAACAATAAACACGGATCATTCAATTTTATGGTCATATATATCCAGTATTATTATAATGGAGAATTTAAGTAAATATTAAGGATATATACATTTTTTACCCTTAAAGGAGACCTGTTACTTAAACTCAAGAAATACTGACGTAGTTGGGAGTAGCATTGTGTTTAGTTTTAATTTCCAACTTGACACAACACACAGTCACCTAGGAAAAAGGGAGTCTCCGTTGTCGTGAGTGCTAACTGACAGAGGCAGGTCCAGCCCACTGTGCATGTCTGGCGGAGTAAGAAAGTCTGTGAGCATAAGGCTGTGAGTGAGTCAGTACTCAGGGCTCCTCTATGGTTCCTGCTGTTGTTCTTGTCCTGACTCCTCCCTCAATGATGGACCCTGACTGACAAGTGTAACCCAGAGAAACTCTTACCGCCCCCAGTGGCTTTGGTCAGTGTGCCTTATCACAGTAACAGGAAGGTACACTAGGTCAGATGTACGCCTGTAATCCCAGCATTTGGAAGGCAAAGAGGCTCACATCACCTAAGCTATGTAAGTGAGACCCAAAAAAATACATGACACCCAAAGGAAGGGGGCCCTGAGTGGGCAGGAGAGGGAAAGTCTACAGAGAGGAAGGGGGTAGGGCTGGCATCTCCAAGAAATGGCACTCAATATGCAGTCACTAAGTATGAAATCACACTCATTTAGACAGTCCATAATGTATTTCTGACAGATGTCTCAGATATTCCAGATATTTATGATTTAATGCGAAACTAGAAAGTTGTGAATAAAACTGTAGCTTCGTGACATTTTCTATCAGCAGCCTGACAGGAACTAGGGGACAAACTTGTGAGCATGCCGATGAGGACGGACATGGATGAGGTTAAGGGAGGCGGGAAATCCAATCCCATGACAACACGCACTCCTACTACGCACAATGTGATCAGCCTCCGTTCCTGCTATTTCATCCCTCTCTGTGACGGGTTTCCCTTTCGCCATGAGCCATCACGAGAGGTACCTTGTTACGGCCAAGAAGAAAGTGACAAGCCCATCTTTTCCTAGTCACACTGTATGATACCAGTACACAAGCGACACAACACCCATTATGTGCCCTGACTTATTTATCACCTATTACGTGTAGAAGGGACCTTGGCAATCATCCTCACTTCACAGGCAAAGTGAGTGGTGACTCACGACAGTCACAAAGAGGAAGCAATGCCCACCGCTGCCTCACCGCCTCACCACACACGACATCCTCACAGCCTGCCCTGTGTCAGGCACAGTGCAGAGCAACTTACGCCATTATCCATCTCAGCCAACGCCTTCAACAACCTGAGAAAGACGGGTTTCTATTGTCTCCAACTGACAGCTGAGACTCTGGACTTCAAAGAGGTCATTTACCTTGTCTGAGAAGCCATCAGTAGTGGAACCAAGACGTGCAACTGGGCAGTGTCACTGAAGCCCATGCCCAGCACACCTCAGCAAGACGTGCAACTGGACAGTGTCACTGAAGCCCATGTCCAGGACACCTCAGCAAGACGTGCAACTGGGCAGTGTCACTGAAGCCCATGTCCAGGACACCTCAGCAAGACGTGCAACTGGACAGTGTCACTGAAGCCCATGTCCAGGACACCTGAGTGTTTGTCACCTCCCATACTACCCCTACCACACGTGTTTCCTGACGAATTTCATCTTCTCAGGATTCAACTCCCACCCACATGCTGAGTCTGACACCTCAGTCATCTCTCTCCTGCAGTCTCTCATGTGACTTCAGAACATTTTCAATTGCCTGATCCCCCAACACGTCCAGAATCCAGGACATCGTGGGCCGTACATATATATGTCCAGAACAAGCTATGCAAATGTAGACAGTAATGTTATTTTGGTGTGGGAAGAATGGGGGAGGGGCTAGAGGGAACAGAGGGAAAGACAGATGATCAGAACAGGGCTCATTTCTGAGCAGATAAAAACGTTGTAAAGTTGAGTTGGTGACAGCTTCACAAATCTGTCCATAAACTAACATTCACTGAATTGTACAATTTAAACTGCTTAACCACACCACATGAATTACAGATCAGGACGCTATTTTTAGAAACGAAAGACTGTTGCACAGTTAACAATGAGGCTCTGAGTAAAGAATGAGTCCAAGTTCAGCATGCACTCTGCTCTATTCCTCCCACAAATGGCGCTGCAAACCCCAGGCCTCACAGCTCAACAAATGTCACCTGACTCAATTAATTCAGCTGCTCGCGGACGGCGTGGTAGACGCGACAAGAATCTGAACTTGCTGTGTTGCAAACGAGACAAAACCTACCTGAATTAGCACTGCGGAGTGTGTTAAAGCATCATTCAGCATCGTGAGCACATTTGACGTAGGAACTACCCCAGGGTCATGGCCCCAAGAGGTTATAAGTAGCCGATCATAACCCTAATGGAAAGATGAATAGCACAGGAAATGGTACTTTAAAAGAAGGGAAATTAAGAAGATGATATAATACTGACCAGAAATTCCTATTTTCCCTTAAAACAGTTCACAGGGCTTGCCCAACATGCATGAGGCCCTGGGTTCAACCCTCAACAGAGCAGAATGGAACACAAGAGAAAACTTCACACGCATACCTGGAATATATCTGGCAGTTTCCGAAGTCTCGTACCTTTGGACAATAAGAGAGATGGTGGTCCTTGCCCAGTGACATGGTAAATATACAATTTAAACCAGACAGAACTTACTTCTGGGATAGCTGGTCCAATATGCTATAACCAAAAAATATGTAAGATAAAGCTATAATACTTATCTAAAGAGTCACAAATGACCAAGTGTAATCTGCTAAGTAGCAAGTACTTCATCATGTTTTAATTATTATTATCCTTATGAAGATGAGTGCTAATTAATCCGTACATCAGTGCAGTGTTAAGAGACTGAAGTTTGCAGTGGCTGCCTAGGTCTGAGTCTGGGTTTCATCCCTCCAGCCGCATCACCTTAGCAAAGTCCCTGAAACTCCTCTGTGCCTCATTTGCTCCATCACAAAAGCACAAGGGAGTGGCTACTACGTGAAGATGCTGTGCGGATGCTTAAGCTAGTGCCATAAGCTCCACATTACAGCAGTAGTTTTCATCACCATCATCACCATCATCACCATCATCACCATCAACCACACGCTATTTTTGCAAAACAAAGACGATGTCCCTGTCCCTCCATCCATTTTCCCATGTGTGCAGACAGTTCATAGATCTGCACTGCGAGAATACACTGAGTTAAATAGGAGAGGGGTAAAGAATGATACAAAAGGCTGGTTAAAAGCAAACCTAGGGCCATCGCTCTTAACACAAGACCACAATTTTGGCATGGGGATGTGTGATCTGAGGCAACTAGAGCGCATAGGTAGCCAAAACAAAATGGTACCAGAGTCCCTTCCTCCCTTCTCTCAGGGAGCCCTGCACCCACACGCAGGAATCCAGGTAGGATGGACCACTGCACAGCAGTATAACCTCAACTCTGCAGATGTTACCAATGCACCTTCTTTGCTGAGAACATAAAGACATGTATCTCATTTATCCTTCGAAAGCAAAGACCAGTAGTCGTTCTAACGAGCTCTCCAGTTGACTACAAAGTTCTAGACTAAATCAGCTAAATCAGCATCACAATCCTACTTTTCTGAAATAGCTGATATTTTCTTATTTAAATTCACCCAAGCTTTCTTCCTGGAGCACTGAAAATGTTCTCATAAAACACTTCATATGAATACATTTTTAATCGGATGTGTCACCAGTCACTTAGTGACACACAAACTAAATATACCAATTACACTTCACAACTTGAATGTGACAGCATCTTACAATAGACAACTGATCCCTTTCCTTAATGAAGTAATCACACCCCCACCTGGAGCCTCCAAGTGAGTCCTTACCTGAGGGGTACAGCTGCTGACTGGCCGGATTTCATTGGTAAGGGGTGCCATGGAAACAAGCAGTGTGTAATTTTTGTTGAGAACTCTGCTGCAAGTCGCTGGGTCCAAACCAAGAAGGCTTTCACAGCGTAAGAGATCCAGGGGAAAGCCTAAGTCACAAGGAAGCACACGGAATACAGGCTTGACCATGTGAAACAGAAGATAAACTGATGACTAGCTTGAGACTTATTTTCTCCATTTATTGAAAATAGACTCCATTCCTACTCCTCCCAGTTCCTCCCTAACCCCCCTCCCATCCAGATCCACTCCCTTTCTGTCTCCCATTAGAAAAGAATGGCCTTCTAAGAGATAATAATAATAATAATAAAATGTAACAAGATAAAACAAAAAGCCCAAGAGAAGGCACAAGAATCAAAAGCCACTCGTTTGCACACTCAGGGATGCCACGGAAACACTAAACAGGAAGCCATAATGCGCGCACGCGTGCGCGCGCACACACACACGCACGCGCGCACACACACACACACACACACACACACACACACACACACACAGTCTCCAGGGCACACTCAAGACTGAAAGGAACTTGAGAGGATCAGTCAGCCACGTCCCCCTTCAAATAAGGACGCATCTAAACAAGTGTACAGCTTACTGAAAGAACCAAGATGCTCTGAACATAGCTAGCACCAGGACCCCAGTCTCTCACACACTGCCCAGAAAAAAAGTGGGCTCCTAGGAAACTGCCTACAGTATAGAGTAAGATTGTACTGCTTTGCTACAAAGTAAGGTATTATTGGGGGGGGGGTTATGGCACAAGGAGACAGAAACCAGTTTGCAGGTGAAATGAGAGCTACAGCACAGAAATAACCGAGTCAGTAATGACTGCAAATCACTGAAAACCTTGTTGGATACGGAGGGGACACTGGAGCAGGGGACATGACTAATCTGCAACCAATATAGTTGAGAAAGAGCCACAGTTGAGGCTAGATGTCAGGGAAACAGACAGAAGTATGCCTGCAAGATCTTCAAATGTGTCCCAGATCTCCTCTTGGTTGAGGAGAAACAAAATAGCCACAGCATGAAGAAATCGGGCGACACATTAACTGGGTGACCAAATCAGTATCACCAGCAAGAGGCAGAGAACAACACATGGGTCCAGACACCGAACCCTCAGGAAAACCGAGCATCACTCGGCCTAGCATCGCCTGGATCTGTCCCTGAAGAGGAAAGAAGGCCCTGTGAAGGCTGTCAACATTACCAACCAACCAGCGGGCTGGACACTGGTATAGAAGCTGCTGTAACACAACACCTGTATTTCCAATAAGCCCTCAGCAGCGGGCCAAGGCCATGGCTGACAAACAACTTATTCCCAAACTCTGTGTGGAAGGTCGTTCTCATTCTTGCCACTTTTCAGTAGAGCCCACTCTAAAGAGCCGAAGGTGTGTGACGTAGTGGCGGGGACAGCTGACCTGACAGGAGGGACAGTACCTGGTCTAACCAGGCAGACAGGAAGGCTGGAGTGCAGTGTCAGCAGGGATGCCCTCTACCAAGTGACACTGCCACAAGTCAGCAGGTGGCTTGGGAAGGGACAGGAGGGAGAAGACACTTATAAAAGCCAAAGAGATCCGTGCTGTATAGTGAGAAACTGTACAAAAGACCCGGATGAGAAAATCCCAACAAAAACCTCGGTCTTCATATTTAGGAAAGGTTTTGCTGGAAAGGATTGGGTGGCGCGGAGCACAGTTGCAATGGAGAGATTAGTGCAACAGTGGCCTGCGCTCCTGACAGGGTGGACATGCAGGGCACAAACAAACCAGGAGAGGAGTGGCGGGGAGACAGGGCACACAACAGCAGACTAGAGAATGCTGCACTGTAAGGTGTGGACCAGTGTGAACTTGAGTCTGGGATTGACAAAGAGGCCCACCAGGTTTGATTAACAAACACCTTGTTCTGACTGATCGGGTGGGAGGCAATGCAGCCAATCATTTACGAGGCCAAGAAAGAGAACTCAGATCTGTTCCGGCCTTGGCAGACACGAACAGAGGCGAAACAGGAATCTCATGTAAGCTGTGTGGGAAAAACATGGTCCTTAAGGTAAGCCATTTTCCAAAACACAAACGGACTAATGCACATTAGTGCAGGGACTATAAACCTGGAGCTCGCAGCAGCCAGGACACTTTCTAGGATTTTTATAACTCTGATTGCTCACCTATAAATGTATCTTTCCAAAGTGCTGGCTACCAAGTTACAAATGGTGGGTTTGTATCTAACTTACACTAATCACACGGAAAGATGCCTCTTTTTTTAGATTTTTTTTCATACAATATGTTCTGATTGCAGTTTGCCCTCTAACTCTGTACCCACCCAAATCTGCACCCCCCCCATCATATGTAAACAGGCATCTTAAAACATAGTAAGATAAAACAAACTGGAAGGGGATGAAACAAACTAAAAGAAAGAGCACAAGAAATACACAGACACAGAGAACACTTGCTGACTTTCCTACCATAACTGGGCTGGTCTGGCTGAGAAGTCTGAGCAACCAGATCTTTATTATGACGCAGAAAGAGGATCGTGTTCCTCAGAGTGAGCGCATGATCGAAGTACCGCTGGGCTTCTCCTTCACCGGTGCTCTGAACCTAAGCCAAGAGAAAACAGTTGTTAAGAAATACCACTCTCATGCCAGCCAATAGTCAGGTAACACATGTATACACTACAAAAACAAAACAAAAACCCCAACAACAACAAAAAAGCAACTCAAAAAATTGCTCAGGAAATGCTGAATTCCCTTAACCAATTTTGAACAAGTTCCTATGGTAGTTTGAATGTAATTGGCTCCCATAATCTCACAGGGAGTGGCCTACTAGGGGGTGTGGCTTTGTTGGAGTGGGTGTGCCTTGTTGGAGGAAGCGTGGGGACGAGCTTTGAAGTTTCCTATTCTCAAGGTATCATCGAGTGTGTCAGTCGACTGCTGTTGCCTGCAAGGCGCAGGGCTCTCAGCTCCTCCTCCAGCACATGTCTTCCTGCGCGCCACCATGCTCCCCGCCATGATGATAGCGGACTGAACCTCTCAACTGTAAGTGAGCCACCCCAGTTAACTTATAAGATTTGCTGTGGTCACGGTGTCTCTGCACAGAATTAGAAGTCCTAACTAAGACAGTTCCTAATGGACTACATCCATGAAATGATGTTTGGAAGGACACCAGGTATAACAATTTTAATACCTGAAAAAACTGCTAACTAGCACATTTTATAAGCTCTATGTCCCTGTATGATTCAAAGAGGGAAAAGTTCCATAGCCACTTCTACTTCATCCAAAAACGTTCAAGAGTAATCAGAGATCAGAACGTAAACGTACAGTGAAACAATAAAACAAGAACCAGCAACACATCTGGAAGAATAAGGGATAAAGATCGAAAAAGTGAAACCAATTGGTAAGTAGTATTTCTTAGTTTTTGCAGTAATGAATGCAAAAGTCCCACAGAATAGTAAAAAAAAAAATAACTGTGACATAAAGAAATGGTAAGATCACTACAAATTTTCTAAACAGAATATTTATTTAATATACAAAATGCATAACTAAATCACAAAGCCTACAGAACTATTAACCCAGGGACAGACCTGATAGCACAGAAGACAGAGGACAGAGGACAGAGGACAGACTAAGCCAGCAGAAAGGAGCACCAACTAAGAGCTCATGAGCCCGGGGTTAATCCCAGGGAAAGGGGCTAAAAGCAAATGCAGCTCAAGATGCTAACGGGGACAGTGACAGCAGACAGGAATGGGAGACTCGGACACTGCTCCAGACTGAAAACAACACCAACAAAACTTACATAAAACTGCTTCAGAGAATCCTTCAGGCAAACCAAATTTAAGAAAGGTTAGAAAAACTCATCTAAAGATATCACACATATAAAGATGTCTACCGCCATTCTCAACATATCAAATCATATTAGGAGTCAGTCACGTCACCTTACAACCCCAGAACGCATTCGCTCCTTCACTGTGCTGAAGTCTGAGCGCACCTCAGGATCAGATGGGCTAGGGACAGGAAGAGCAGGAATATCCACACACCCGTGACCGGGGTGGATGAGCAGAGCTGGCCCCACATGGATGCAGCAGGAAACCACAGCCACCCTGGCGCACTGACCAACCAGCAGGAAACCACGGCCACCTTGACGCACTGACCAACCAGCAGGAAACCACGGCCACACTGGCACACTGACCAACCAGCAGGAAAACCACGGCCTTGCAGCCCTGGCGCACTGACCTTCTCCAGTTCTACGAGGAAGCTGTCCAGGGACTCATCGGAGAGTTTGCCGACTTCAAACATGGTGACTGCGTGACTTTTCAAGTTCTGCAAAAAGACACACAATACCAAATAAAGCTCCCGTTTTTCCTCTGTACGCTAATAACACTTATTATGCTTTCTAATATATTTAAACTGAAAGATGGATACATGAGCACTGGTTCTTTCAACTACAGGAGCAGTCCTCACGGGGAGCTCTCACCGTTGGCTGCTTTCAGGAACAGCTCGAACTTAAAGACATTTTTACAATGCACCGCATTATTTCATCTCTCATCTCTACTGAAAACATCATCACACTGAAACAAGCATTGGACTTACCGGTGAAAGATTTCCCATCATTAAAAATGCAGTAAGAGTGGAGTCAAATAAAAATGCAATACGCTTTGTATACCCAGTGGACAGACTCAAACTGCTTACACTGGCTGTGTCAGCTGGAAAAAAAAAATAGAATACAAAATCAAGTCAATGAAAGTCTTTTTTCTCATCATCTGAAATAAGTGTTTTATCTGACAGCCAAACTTCATTAAATATAAGCAATATTGTAGTCTTAAGACATCCAAGTTCTTTGAGTCAGGGTCTCACTATCCAGTACAAACTGGCCTTGAACTCCAATCCTCCTGCATCCAGCTCCCCGGTACTAAGATTGTAAGTATGTACTAACATCAAATGAAGGGGAATGTTTTTTTTTTAAAATTTAAAAGTTATTAAAATTTCTGTTAGTGTCCTAATTAGTTTGTCAACTCGACACAAACCAGGAGCACTGGGAAAGGAGGAACCTCAATGGGGAAAACATCTCCATTAGACTAACAAGTCTGGGGGCATTTCCTTGATTAGTGATTACCCTTGGTAGCTGCTTCACGGAAGTCTAAAGGTAGCTGGACAGGAGCCTGGGGAGTAAACTAGAAAGCAGCATCCCTGCATAGTCTCCATTTGAATTCCTGCCTACAGATTCCTGCTTGAGTTTCTGTATTGGCTTGTTGTAGAATATTAATTTAACATGTGTTACATTTGTTTATGCTGTTGCACATGCATAAACATTGTTTTAATGATGCAAAGATGTGTTGTATTCCTTTATGATACATTTGTTTAACTCTGAAGCTGTGTTACTTTGCCTGTCTAAAATACCTGATTGGGCTAATAAAGAGCAGAACGGCCAATAGCAAGGCAGGAAAGGACGGGGGGCTGGCGGGCAGAGAGAATAAATACAAGGAACATCTGGGAAGAAGGGAGGAGTAAGAGCAGGAGGAGGACTCAAGGGGCAGCCACCCAGCTACACAGGAAGCCACGGAGTGAGAAGGAAAGAAAGAGAAACAGAAAAAGAGAAAGCTACGAGCCCAGAGGCAGAAGGTAGAAGGGACAATTTAAGAAAAGCTGGCTGAAACAAGCCAAGACAAGACCGGGTACTTATAAGAAAGAATAAGCCTCCATGTGTATTTATTCTGAAGCCCCCAAAAGAGTAACAGTAAAAAAAAAATCAACCACTACATTGGCTTCCCTTCTTGACGGGCTATAAGCTGTAAGCAGAAATAAACCCTTTCCTCCTCAAATTGCTTTTGATCATGGTATTTTATCAGTGCAACAGAAAAGCACAGTTCATTTCCTTGAAAACCAGAAATAAAAATTCTTGATTGCCAGATCAATACGTATGTGTCTTGGGTAACAGAGCAGCAGAAAGGCCACCCCAGGTTCCTACTACCCTCAACTTTAAACCCTGTGAGTCTCCCTTAGTCTGCACTTTCTCTTGAGCTGAAATGCCCTTGCCTCATTGGCCAGTGAACTCAGACATTCTAACCCACAGCCTCTTCCTTGTAGGGAAAGGAGTTTTGCTTTTTTTTTCCCCAGACCAAACACAATTGCTTGTTTTGGGAGCTATGCTCCCCCCTCCCCTTTCTCCCTCAACTTAGTTTCTAGAAGGCAAGTGCCACATTCTTATTTACATTACACCTTCAAGACTTAGCATAGTGTTCACAATGCTGGTAAGGCCTGGACTGCATAGAAAATGAGGAATCTAACACAGAGCTGTACAGGAAGGAGATGGAGCACAGACGGCAGGCCTACAGACGAACTCGGAGGTACCCTGAGTGGCTGCTAACCTGGATCTTCCTGACTGTTTGTGTCAGTGTCGGTAGCCGAAGACGCCTCTTGCACAGGACTCCTACTCTCCCCGCCATCCCATGACAAGAGCATCTTCTGTGGGTCTAAAGTGCTCCTATCAAGGCAGAACACATTCACTTGTTAAAAGTCACACATGACCCACATGAAAATCGCGACTGAAGCTGGTCCCTGTACCTAGGACAACCCACCAGAACACACGCCAATACACGTCTGTGAGCGAGAGCGGGGTGACTGCTCACACATGACAGTTAAAGCTAGAGCACAGGCTTCAGGGGACCCAGTTCTTCTAACTTACGTAGTTTACAAGACATCGTGTGCACTGTTTTCCTAAACAAAGTGTTCTCGGTTTTCATCAGATCATAAAGAAGGTCTGTCCCACCAAGATGACTGACTGAAACACTATCTACAGGGGTCACCTCAAGGGCATAGTGCACACTTAAACTCTCTGCATGTAAAAAGCCTTCTCAAAAGGAAGCTGTATCATACAGAATAAATGAATTACTTTAATCTGTTCACAGAGGGAACATTCTTCCATGATGAATGAAGTTGATCCAAGTTTATTACTTGTCCCTTCTTATGGGCAAAACCCAATCGGCAATACATTGAAACAGCATTCTGAAAGGAATGCAATGGAATTAGCATTACAACAGACATCAGAACATTTGTAGAGACAAATACCTTGCAAGAGACCTAGCCTCTGCTGATGTGCAAGGTTTCTGTACCTGACCTGCAGAGCAGGCTGGCCAGGACCGCCAGGCCCTAAGCCCCCTTCTAATGAGGCTGGAGGTGCAGCTGTAACTGAGTAGAAAGAGACCCGGGCTCCTTGCCTCCCCCACCCCTGCAACCACCCCTTTACCACGCACCCTTCCTCAAGCAAGATAGAAGTCAAATAGCGAGACCCACCCAGTACCCACACTGCAAACAAAAGGTAAGGAAAGAGTGGCCTACCTTCACCAGTGACAGGTCTATCTCGAGGACGTTTGCAAGCTAGGAAACAAAACTGAGAATTACGGTCCCGCTCCCAGAACTGCCAGCACAGCCTTTCAAAGATGCTCTTGCCACACTCACCTCTGCAACATTCGTGTGCTCGTCTATGGACACAAATATCTTATAGAGCAGAGTTTCAAAATAATCTCCTTGTACCCGATTCATTACGAAACCTTCCAGAGGAGGAACTGAAAACACAAAACAGACTTTTCTTAGCACTAGCTTTCATAAAACAACAGAGTATAACTCAGATGCCCATGCAGAGAGAGAAAAACCACTCTTACACACTTCATCCACTCCAAGCAACCTTTCCAAAGTTCCCAGTCAGGGCCATGCACACCATCTACAGAGCTGTCTAAAGGGCACATGTGGGACTCAGAGGTACTGAGGCAGAGGGAATACTAAACAATACAGGCTGCTGAAACACACAGGAGCAGGGCTAAGCGAGCCTACAAGTGCTTTCGAGGCCTCACGGGCCAAGGAAGGGAGCAACAGAAGACTGCCGCAGAGTTTCCCCTCCCTGGGAACAGTGCAGTCTGCAGCTCCCTAACATCAGCCCTCTGTGGCCAGAAGGCAGGACTCTCTTGAGCACAGCAGGAGCCGCCGACCATGGCGGAGTTCACTAGCACTCGGGCCAGCCCTCTCGTCCAGACCTTTACCACATGCTCCGCCAGCACGCTCTGCCTAGTGCAGTCAAGGAGGTGTGCTTTCTCTTGTTCACACCCTTCCGTGGGCGCTTCCCGTCAAAACACCCTGCAGCAGCCACCGGCGGAACGGCTCGCTGGGTGAAGGCATTGGATGCCAAGCCCAACACCTAAGATTAATCACTCACATGGCAGAAGCAAAGAATCAGAAAGTCTGTTGCCACTTCCACAGACAACACCACAGCATGTACATGCGGCACAAGCTCTCACGTACACAAAATAAATGCAAAAAAATAAAATAAAATCTCACGGGAAAGCAGGGTGCATAGGCTACAAAATATAAAACTTAAAAAACAGAAATTTCATTTGGGATTGTAGGAAATTGAAGTTCTACTATTTTAATATAGTATAAAAGTGTGTGCATATATATTAAAGTTGTATATAAAATATATATAATATTAAAATAAATGAAAATGAAATGAAATAAGAAATTTTAATAAAACCACAATGGATTAAATGCAAAAATAATGTTCTTTTAAAAAACTGAGTATCAGCTGGGCGGTGGTGGCACACGCCTTTAATCCCAGCACTCGGGAGGCAGAGGCAGGTGGATCTCTGTGAGTTCGAGGCCAGCCTGGTCTACAGAGTGAGTTCCAGGACAGCCTCCAAAGCTACAGAGAAACCCTGTCTGAAAAAAAACAAAACTTGAGTATCTAAGATTATAGAATGACTTGTGTTAAATTTATTAGATAATACACACCATGTAGCTTTAAGCAGTCATTCAAAATAGAGTGCAAAATGTCAGCCCAGACTTACCAGCTATACAACTGTCATCAGATATGGGCACATCCAGATAAATAAAGCCTTTGTTATACAAACCTACAAAAACAAAGCACTTTATTTGTGATGGGACACTACACAACAGCATTTTTTCTACAAGCCTGGCTGCTGACTTTCTGTGATGTCTTAAACTGAACATACATGAAGAAAAAGAAAATAGTGTAAGAGAAAACTAACTACATTTTCTAAATCTTGACTTCTTACGTATTTTTGAACTACAACTCTCTTACCACTCATTTGTATAGGTCGATAATTACATCCACACCAGAAAATAAAGACGAAGGTCACACTCAGGCGCCTCGACTAGCTGGTAAAGCAAGGTTTTGACTGACTTACTATGCACCACATTGTAATCTAGTGATCCGGAGAGCTGCGGACCTGAGTCGATGATCTTATCAATAGCGCTCTTCTCAGGAAAAGTGCATGTCTAAGAAAAAAGTATTTCCAATTAATTTCTGTCACAATTAGCTAAGCTGTCAGTCTCCTAAAATGTACTCACACTGGAGCCCGTGACTGATGACATGTACAGGATGAGCCTTATCACTTCCATCTATCATCTTAGAATTTAAACAACAAAGCTATGCACATAACCATCATGAAAACTGCCAAACTAAGGTGCCAACAGTTCACATAACAACCACCATAAATACCAACAACTGCTGCTTAGTAGTAAATGCTCACTGATAAACACATTGTTTGTTCTTTTTCTTTAAAATGAACGCAAATCCTTATCACAGGTCCACTGAGGAAAACCCCACACGAACAATGGTGAAGCCATAACAGCAGCTTATGAGAGCCCGACAGCTCCATTAGGAAGGGCTTGCAGAAAGAGTATCTACAGCTTGCAGTTTTAAAATGCCCTCCAGGAGTACGCAGACAGAAAACAGATAAGTAAAGTGACAAGGTCACATACATTCCTTCAACCACACAGAAATCCCTCGGGCTCTCCCTTTCTTCAAGCCGTGTCCAGCCCGGGTCACCTCTGGGGACGTCACTGCTCTTGGACTGCCCTGCCGGGGCCCCTGCTCTATTCAGTGTAATTCAATCTTGGACGCTTCCTATCATCCCAACTTGAGTCATTTAGTTAACTGCTGCTTCTCTTTCCGCATCTGTCAACTGGGGTACACACAATACTTCACCTAGGGCTGTCATGAGACTTAGGGAGACAAGAACATAGTTACATTAGTGTATAGCACACGTGCCCCAAGTCAGTCTTCAGAAGTTAGCCACATTATTATGGCTGCAGGTGTGACATCCTCCCTTTACCCAAGACCACTAAGACCCCAGATTACTGTCCATGAACCAAAACATGCCTCCTGAACCATTAATGAGGGTTTTGCAAGCTCCATCTAACCTATTAAGATCATTTTTGAATTAGTTTGAATTGATTTTCTACAAGAAAATCAAATGCTACTTTTTAAAACATTATGTAATATAATTTAGCATCATACAAAAAGTTAAAAAAATATTCTGGTTTTAGTCTTTTCTTTTCCACTGGTTTTAGTCTATAAGGAGCTCTACCTTGATGTCATCTTCTGTGATATATCCAGCCTGCACCACCCACCACGCCTCGATGGCGATTTCCACTGGCTTTAGTGGTAGAAGGTCACGGGCAGTTTTCCTTCTGAAGAATTTCTGCAACAGTACAACAAATCCAAATTACCACTTTCTTCTATCATCATATAAGACATTACAACAGGCTAAGCGTTTCAAACTTTCATGTTTAAAATGCTTACTAGTCTAGATACTGTAGAATCACTCTTATCTTAAATTACTTAAACCTAGACTTCAATCCAGAAACAAATGGAATGAAACCCCAGAGGTTAAAAGCTTCATTTGAAAATGTGAGCATATTTCACCCATTAAGTGAATTCGGGGGCTAAAATGCCCAAATAAAAAGACAAGCAAAGAAAGGTTACCTTGTAAAACTAAGTGTTACATGTGCAACTCACTATGTGGTCACACTGAAGATCTCCCTGCTCACCGCTCCTATGACATGCATTAACTAGGACCTCCACCACTCTAAAGCAAGCTCTGGCTGTATTGGAGTTGGTCAAGGAGGCTGTAAAGCAAGCGGGAAGGGACGGCTCACCTTTGAAGATCTACACTGATTCATCAGGTCAATGTACTGGTTCCTTCCTATGCCAAGAAGCCGCAGACCTGAAAGTAAGTATCCGCTTTACTACACCTTGAAACGTGAGCACACACTCACCCACACGAGGAAAAGTCTCCAGGTTATCCTTCCTGGCTCACTGACATGGTCCACCAACACCAAAAGGAATTCATCACACCACACAGACGAGACCTCAGCTCTGGGAGAGGTGAGCTCAAGGTAGCACTTTGACAATGCTAATGAGGACATGTTGAGAAAGCAGAAGTCCTCCCAGCTTTAAGAAGTGAAATTACGCTATTCACAGAAGCTTCCTGCACAGAGCTGCATCACACGTTAGTGTAGGCTTCACTAAGGTCAGCAGAGTGAAACAGCGGATCATGTGTGCAACTCCACATGACACTGGAAGAGCAGAGTACTGGTTTTCCTCCGCCCAGCAGCCACACAACAGCAAGAACTTCCCTCTCTAGAATAATGGCTAGTCCTAACTTTCTGACTCCAGAGCAGTCTTCCCATTGAGATCAAGCTAAAGCTCACACCCGATTTGTACTATGCAACCAAGTTCTCACTAGTAATGAGAACTATTCTTACTATTTCAATTCTTGCTATTTCAGGTTAGAAACACACATCCCAATAGACACGGTGCATACACAAAGACGCAAGCTAAATGTTACTCCTTAACAACTGGATACTCACAGTCGGCAGCAGTGAAGTTAGGCAATGAATCATAACTTTTCTCACTGTTCATGATGTCCTTTGAAGGAAAAAAACATAAAATATGAAACATAACTTGCCTTAGACACACACACACACACACACACACACACACACACATATGCTGGGTCTACACCATCATTGTTATGCACAGTGAATAGTTAAACTACGTTTCCCTGATCTTACTAATTATGCAAGCCATATTTTGAATCTTATAGATTACAGGCAATAACTGTACCAGCTGTTGGCACTAGTAACTGATTAGTACCGTAACTACACAAAGGGTTAGCACTGTGAAAAACACAGAATACAAGCAGCTACCTTTCCAACATAAAAGCATCAATAACGGCAACCCTGTGTGCACGTGTGCCTCAGCTACCGTGTGACCAGCCATCCCTGACCCACGCCAACTGACAACGCACGAGTGCTGCGCCCACTGCTAACTGCGGCTCACAGTAGACACTGACCTCCATGATCCCGGCATAGTATGAAAACGGTGTTATCCTCAGGCCCTTCACCATGATGTCAGACAGGTGGTAAGGGTACAGCATCAGGTGGTCGCGGCTGTACCTCAGCAGCTCCTCATAGTACTTGCGCTCGTCTTTCTTGACATGCTTGACTGCAAGAAAAGGAGAACGGCCATTTTCTCAGGCTTCACTGTAACACAGTGTGAAACACACTTTTTAACTTTTGAGACAGTGTGCAAACTAGACAAGAACAAATAAAGAACAGTTGTAACACAAAAAAAGAGACAGTCTCCATAATGTGTAGAAAGACAGAAGTAGAGAAAAGAATTCTTACCAAATCATGACAGAAAATAACCAAACCACTTTGACAAAAAAATAAGCACTTTAGAAAGAAAACTCTACAATATGAATTATTATGTGGAATGAACAGTACGAATGTTCTTAAGTTCATACATGCAGAAATTTCAGATCTTAGCAGACCATACTGCAAACACAGAAGAGATCTGTAAAAATGAAAAGCCAGTGACAGTTATCTCCACCCCAGGGTAAGAACATCCCCAATTACCTAGGTTATTTCTGTAGCGCAACTGGTTGCGGATACTGTACAGGACAACCTGTTTTTCATATTCTCGCTGTGAGTTTCCAAGACTCTAAAAGAAACCACACATGGACATTAAACTGTTTCCAGATAGACGCCAGTACTTTGTCTACCATAAAATTAAAAACAAAAAACAAAACACGCACGCAAAAAAAAACAAAAAACAAAAAAACATGACATTTAATTTTACCTGGGCATCTCTAACGCCCAGAACTGAATAAGGAGTTTTATTATGCTAACTTTACTACTATGATATTAAAACAAAAGCCCACATGTTCTTTGTAGTGTACCTTTCTAGAATGACTTAATTAAGTTATTTCAAAATAGTTACATAAATGTCATTGTCCTACTCCTGCTTTAGACAACATTTGGACAATTCTGCCATTTCCGCATACTGACACCCTGCAGCACTAGTGTCACAACCTAAGGACACCATAGCCCAGACATGCTCCAACCCCTCACATAAAACAGTATTACATGTACATATCATCAGCACACACCATACATTTGCCTGCATAGTTTTAACTGTCTTGAGATTACATCTACTAACAAGTTGATAGACTGTATTATCTATGGAACAATGGTAAGAAATAAGTCTGTACACATCCTGGATAAACCATGTATTTTGCAGTATTTTCAGTCAGTGATCACTGAATCAGCAATACATATACTACACACAGAAATTCAGAATTAAACATAATAAACAAAATACTCTCTAGCTGTGCACATGGTGTTTTAAGTTCAAAGTTGGAACTATGAAAGCAAAGAATAAATATGCTTATAAAGTTAATTTAGTATCTGGATGATCTCTCGCTTCTAATTGCTAGGTATATTTTTTTCCTGGCACACTATAGAGCTAAACTACGCATCTTTAATGACAAAATGATTAGAGGATGCGATTGGTTGTATTTTTTACAGGTTCATAAAGCGGAAGTTAAATGCCCATACACCTATGTTTTGCAATTGTCAGGCTGCAGTGACACGATGTGAAAGCTGTGTCTTTCTTCCTGCAGCGCATTAGTTACCATGGCTACTTCCACCTGTACCACCCCACGTGCTGGAGGAGAGTGCACTGTCAAGAGACGACCCCATCACCCCAAAACAGCAACAAGGCTCCATCCTACCGAAGCTCCCTTGGGGTTCAGAACGCAGAGCCTTCTGTCTGCTGCCGGGTCAAAGTCTCCTTTTCAGGAAACACCACACACACACTGTCCACAAGTGTGCCATCCTGCTCCAATCACAGCCAGTTCCAAACCTGAGGTTTTCTCCTTCTGGTTCAAAGTCAGTCTTTTAGGTTATCATTACCTATTGGGTAAGTGTCACTGGAGAATGTGAACTCTATCCCATGTGAGCTCTAGGACTACGTGTGGAGCATCTGATTAGTCCCCATCAGTCAGTGTATGTTATGCACACAAATCCCTAACCACAGTGAACGTTTTATTCTTCCCTCAAGAAATACATAGCTGTCTGTTCAGCAACTCTGACTCTGTCCTTCTCCACCATTTTAAAATGCTGTTGCCACTACAGCCTAGATGACAGAGCAGGGAAAACGGTCATTTCACTAGGACAGTTTGGCTGCACAGTTTGGGAAGGCCTAGCAGACAAAGATGGGCTTCATAAAAGAGGAACTACAGCAGATAAAGCAGCTGTGGAAATGAGCCCTAGCTACAGAGCACACTCCCTGTGCACCAGACAACCCTGAAAACAGGCTTTCTCCAGCCAACGCTCCCGCAAACCCAATGTGTACATCCTGACGGGTACTCCTCTATCAGATGGATGGATGGGTGGATGGATGGATGGGTGGATGGGTGGGTGGATGGGTGGGTGGATGGATGATAGATAGATAGATAGATAAATAGATGATTGATAGACAGATAGAATCACATTTTAAAAACTGACCCATCATAGGACTTCACTTTGAGTAAAACAACACGTTGTCAATGAATGTCTGGTATTACCTAACTGCAGAAAATCCTGAAAACAGTGGCCTGACTTACATTTTTTTCCTGCCCTAGAGATAGAAATCAAGGCTCTCTGTGCATGCTCAGCCACCATCTACAACTGTTTACTGTGCCCTCAAAAGTCTGGTGTGACCCACAAAACAAAACAAGTTTTTTCCTCATCTCATCCACACTGGAGGAAAAACAAAAACTGGCTTGTAAGATTTTTTTTTTTAATCTGAGTCTCCTTCCTCCAACTTTCAGGACTGGGAAATGAGTCATCTCCAAACTAAGCCCACCAAAACTTACTGGAAATCATCACATCAACATATGTAGCATTTATAATACCAAAAATACAGTCTTTCCACACAAAATAAAAATCCTCAGAATACGTTTGAGATTTTCATAGCTATTTAGAGAGCACCTCAAGCTGAAGCCCATTACATCTGACCAATAGCTACTGACCAACTCTGCATATAGACCCTGAGGGTACAAAGCCTAACAAAGAGTCTGCGTAGAAAATGCACCACCGTGATGGACTATCTATTTAAAAATGGAAAGAAAAGACTATTCTAGTTGTCTTCAGACAGGTCTCAGAACACATTTGTGTAAAGAACAAAACTGCCTGCCAAATCCTCATTCAAACTTAGGAGGAACTTGTTCCTAAAGGTTTAGACTTGTCTTCTCAAGTTTCAGAAACTGACTTGTGACATCCTTGAGACCTTTGTCCCCGGAACACACCTCGCCATTATCTCGGGCTCTGGTGTCTTCAAAGCATGTTGTCATGTGATGGTCACCAGGACCCCTTAACTCATTCCCTAGAACTGGGGCCCGAAATGTACAACAATCATACAACCATCACCACCGCTTTCCAAAAATACACCTGCTGCGCATCACCATGAGAAACAGGGGTCAGTGGAACAAGGAACACAACGGCCCACGACAGTGCCTTACGCGTCACGCACACACTGCTGCCATCCTCAGAAGTCAAGCCAACTGTCGTGAGAGGCTCCCACCCATCAGTCCGCTTACTGTGTTGTGGGAAGGCTCTGCCCGGCTGGGAGCAGGCTCTGCGGGGGTCGGGGCCGGCTCTTGGTCTGCCAGCTGCAAACTACCTGCACCCAAAGCCAGGCGCCACCTCTGGCAGGAGCTCCACCCACACCCGGCAGCCACCTCAGTGAACCTGCCACTCCATGCCAGCACCAGATTCCAAACATCCCAGGCCATGCTCCCGCTGGCACGGCCCTTGGGAAGCCGGGGTGTCTGAGGGACGAAGTCCGACGACACACGGCACACGAACCCTTCCTTCCAAATCAGGTCCTGGCCGCCACCCTCACACAGTCACCCAGAGCTTCCAGATGCGTGCACGGAAACGCGCAGCACGTCTCCAAACTTTGGGTGAGCGTCCGCGCCTCTGCGGAGCCTGGGAGACGGGGGGTGGGGTGGGGTGGGGTCCTCGGTGTTCGTCTCCCACGCTCCCAGGTGAATGCTTTCGGTGACGCACCCAACTGTACGCGGCCCCTTCTCCCACGAACCCCACGGAGGACCTGAACTGCCGCCCTGGGCCGTGTGCACCGCTCTCTCCCGCCATCCCTGGGTTTTACTCCGGATCTCAGCAGCGCCGAGCCCTGGCCTGGGGAGCCCGGTCACCCCTCCGCGGCCCGGTTCCCCCAGCCCCGTCCTCGGGGCAGCGGGGCGGGGCCGGGCCGTACCTGCTTCACGTTAGCCGGCAGCTTGCTCCAGGGGTAGTTGTGTCGGATGTGGAACTCCACGTCGATGTTCATGATGCCCGAGCCCGGGACGGCTGTGGCCGCGGCTCCCACGCCGCCGCCTCCCGGCCGCTCGCCGCCGGCTCGCACGCGCCCGGCCCGGCCCCGTCAGCGGAGCCCGCGGGAGGCCGGACGCCTAGGCCGCGCGAGCCCGGCGCCGCCCCATGGCCAGGGGCACGGTGGCGGCGGCGGCGGCGACTCCGACCCGGACCTCGGCGGCAAGCTCCAAGTTTCTTCCTAGTTTCGGCCTGCCGGAAATGGCTCCGCGCCGACGTCACTTCCGCCCGCCGGCGAGGGGGCCGGGGGTGGAGCTCCGGGTCGGCCTGGCCACGCCCCCCGCACGTGGTTGAGCGGTGCGAGCCAGGCGAGGCCCGGAGGAAAGGAGAGGCGCAGCGATCGCGGAGCTTGTGTGACTCGGTTTCCCCAGTGTGTGTCCGGACAGGCGGCCAAAGGCGCTGCCAGTGGAAGGACGGGGTCACGGAGCACCGAGTGTGACCCGGAGCCCACCCGGTGGGCGGGAGTCGCGAGCGGCGCCGTCCCTTCCAAGCACCGGCTGTGTCCTGGGTGGGGGTGGCGAACGGTGGACTCCCTCCAAGATCCAAATTCTTAAAATGTGGGGATTTAGGGAGCAGAATCTTTTTAAAATTTTTTAATTAATTTTTCTCATTCCAATCCCAGTTCCCCTCTTTTCCTCCCTCTCCCTCCACTCCCCCTCCTCCCATCTGCGGGGAGCAGAAGTTGTAACCAGCTTCGATCCGGTGTTACCCCTTCAGCTCTCCTTAAGTCTTATTTTTGGAATGGTTTCTTCCAGAGTGCGTTGTACTTCCTAAGCAAGCTCGTCGGTGGTACTGGCAACAGCAAGACACAAGTTTCAGTCTTTGTGTGTCTAGTTTTGTTTTTTTTTTTTTAAGCAATGTTTTTGAGTCTTATTTCGTTATACACTACGGATACGAACTGAGACAATCCATACCTCAACAACTGACAAATCTGAGCATACTCACTATCTAATTAACTGAAACTATTGTGGCTCAATCTTATAAAGGTGTATCCGTCTGCCTATAAGATTGTAGTAGCTTCGTGTCCTGTTGAGACCCTCCTCAACATGGCTAAAATTTGCTGAACCCCCAACAATGGAACAGTATGCAAAAGTACAACCTGCCTACTATGTATCAATTCCTTACCCTGCAATAGATTGTCATCTGTCACCATGCTGTGGAGTGTTGCTGCACCTGCTGTCCCTATGAGAAGAATACATTTAGTGAGGTTTGGCAGGGTTACAGGACTAGTTCACAGGACTGCTCAGTATAACAGAGCCCACAGGGGTTCTAGTATTTATTTTACATAGAAGAGTGTTTTGTCTGCCTGTGTGTGTACCACTGATGTGCTTTGTGCCTTCAGGGGACAGACATAATTTCTCCGGAATTGGGTTGCAGACAGCTGTGAGCCTTCACCTGGGGGCTGGGAACTAAAACGATGTCCTTTGCGATGGAAAGCTTCGAGTGATCTTAGCTGCTGAGCCATGTCTCCAGGCCCAGCCCTAGGCTGTTTGGTGGAACCGCCCTTTGGATATCCCAGGAACAGCCTTCCCAGAAGTATTCTGCTGCCTGCTCCAGCTTAGGAAGTTCACTTAGAGTCAGTGACATAAATTCCCTTGTACGTTTTTCGTGATTCCACATGTGGACCAAACAGTATTCTTCAAAATCATTTTATCTAGTGTAACAAGAAAGCAATACAGAGAAACCCTGTCTCAAAAAGCCAAAAAAAGAAAAATGAAAATTAAAGACATCTTCCTTTAAAATCCTTACAAAGCTTTATTTCAGCAACTGATGGAAGTGAAGCTTGTGTGAACCTATTAAGTTCATCTTTTGCCGTGCCCGCTGCGCACCCTTGCCACATACCCGTCGGTGGCTTCCAGAAGGCTCCTCAAGAAGGCTCTCCTTTATTCTTACCCTGGCTGTTTATTATATATCCTGACACCAGAGGCAGCAAGCAAGCCCTTTTCAGGAACTTACTGCTCTGGTAAACATTTCTTATGGACACCAGATTGTTTTCAGTAAATATGTTTTTAGTAAACATGTTTTTAGTAAACATTGTCTTATAGCTGCCTGCTCCCATGCTGATGGGGAAGTGGGCCTCTGGCCAAGGTCTGTTGTTCCCACCATCTTTTTGTTTTTCAAATAATATCACATCTAACTTGGACTCAGTAGAAGCTAGTTATGGTGAAAGAATGCCTGCTAAATCAGTAAGTCACCTTACCACGGTGACTTATAAAGGCTGATCTCAGTATGTAGCTCCCCCAAAAGGAGATAATGTTGTGCCCAAATTCTGAACCCCAAAATCACCAAGAGACCCATTTCTATGCAAAAGCAAAGAGTCTCTTATTGTAGATGTTTAACGAGCTAACCCCATTAGCTCAGGCCCTTCACCCCACCACCATGGCGGATGGCTGGAGAAAGACCCCGAGCAACCTCGAGGCAGGGATCTTAAAGGGCAGCGTAAGGACAGTGTCTAGGGGTATGAAACAGTCTCAGGATTGGTGCGCTTCCAGGTTTGGTCCCAGGGCGGTTGCTATGCTCTACAGGTCACTGTTGTGCACTGTCTGAAAAGCACACCCAGAGCCGTAAAGCACAGCCCCGCCAGCTAACTTCTGATTGGTTCCTTGCCACGAGGAGGGCATCTGACCTGAGTGACCAGGACAGGAGCGGCAAGGTCATGCAAGCACATGTTAGCCTGTCATGGCTGCTAAAATGGGGAGGCTGGTCACTACAATCGTGGAGGAGGAAATAACAATAGGTCAAAGCTACGTGGACCAGAAGAGACAAACAGCTCTTCCCTTCAGAGTAGGAACCCGCAACAGTTCAATTTATGAAAATACAAGAGGCTAGTGGAAAGACTGGACTACCTGCATTTCCCCTCAGGGTGACTGGGAAACAAAGCCGTTCTGGTCATTCTGGTCATTCTTTTTTTTTTTTTTTTTTTTTTTTTTTGGTTTTTCGATACAGGGTTTCTCTGTATTGTTTTGGAGGCTGTCCTGGAACTCGCTCTGTAGACCAGGCTGGCCTCGAACTCACAGAGATCCACCTGCCTCTGCCTCCTGAGTGCTGGGATTAAAGGCATGCACCACCAAACAAACCCACAGGATCCATCAGCCGCGTGAAAAACCAAAAAAAAAAAAAAAAAAAAAAAAGCTCCCTAGGCATCAGGAAGGAAAACAACAATGCAACAAAAACAAGCTGCTATCTGGGTTCCATGAGCAGCCCTGGTGCCCTCATTGGTCCTTTTGGAAAACAATAACATTTATTCTTTTAGTTCTTGACTTGGGCCTCTGCCTTTCAAATTCTAGAGAGATCGATCTGAAAGCACAGAGTGTTGTCGCAGGACCCAAAGACTCCTTCTGGGTAAACAGTAGGTTCAGACATGCAAATGAGATGAGATGCCTTCTCAGCCAGCAACTAGACCTGATCAAGGAAAATCACCCAGCTGGCTTGAGCAAACCAAGATTGTTTCCAAAAGGTATTGATGATGGCCAGACAGTGGTGAAACACACCTTTAATCCCAGCACACGGGAGGCAGAGGCAGGTGGATCTCTGTGAGTTCCTCATCTACAAGAGCTAGTTCTAGGACAGCCAGAACTATTACACAGAGAAATCCTGTCTCAAAAAAAAAAAAAAAAAAAAAAAAAAAAGGTAATAGTGACAGACCATATGTGGTTTAGTTTGGCCTTGAACTCACATAGTTCAAGTCAAACTCACAATGACTAAGGTTGCTGAATTTTTGATCCTCCTGCTTTTGCCTCCCTAGTACTGGGATTACAGGCATGTGACTCCGTACCTGGCCTGGCAGTCTTCAAAAACACTACCAAATTATTTTGTTCCCAAAATTTGAGCAGAAATAATGAGAAGCAGCAATTTTTAACTAAGGAGCTGCTGGATAACCCCACTCACAGCCCAGATTAGCATGCCCTACAGTGGTGGCCATGTCTGGAACCTAGAAGTGTGTCCTTGGCAACTCTGGTACACAGGGTAGTCACAGGGATATTATCTAGGGTTGTCTACATGGGCACATGGTAGTCACAGGGATATTATCTAGGGCTGTCTACATGGGCACATGGTAGTCACACAGGGAGATTATTATCTAGGGCTGTCTACATGGGCACAGGGCAGTCCCAGGGAGATTATCTAGGGCTGTCTGCATGGGCACAGGGCAGTCACAGGGAGATTATCGAGGGCTGTCTGCATGGACACAGGGAAGTCCCAGGGCCCTTAACTAGAAAGCAGAGAGTTAAAGAGGGGATGAATGAGTGGTGAAAGTGCAAGCCAGTGATTTGGGATCACAGCCAAGGCAGTAGAAAACTACTCGGGGCTGAAAAGGGAAATAAATTCTCCCCTAAACCTCAAGAAACATCCCTACCAAGCCATCTGAGTTCCCAATCTCCTAGACTGTGAGATAATAAATTCTCCATTCCAAACTTTTAACATAGCAATTTGTCTCAAGAGCAATAGGACATTGCTCTCCCAACATAATATTTATTAGCGGCATTGTACATCCTTGGATGCTGTAAGGTATGGGAACAACAGACCTTGGCCGGAGACCCACTTCCCCATCAGCCTGGGAGCAGGCAGCTGTGAGACAATGTTTACTAAAAGCGTGTTTACTAAAACATGTTTACTAAAAACATATTTACTGAAAACAATCCTGTATCCATAAGAAATGTTTACCAGAGCAATAAGTTCCTGAAAAGGGCTCGCCCACGGGAACGCCCTGACCTCGACATTTTCCAAAGACTAACCGCCTCTTCCTGACCCACCCACCACCATCTCTGGTGTCAGAGAAGAACCAGCGAGGGTTAAGAAAGGGAGCAGAAGCTTTTCTTGAGGGAAGCCTTTCTTGGGAAGTTTTCTTGAGCCTTCTTGGGGCCAGCATAAAGTTTTCTTTCCACCACCGACTGGTCTCTGTGTCATCAATCCTGACACCCTCTGCACATTCTCCGATACAGGCTGCGCAGCAGGTGCGGCAGTAAGGATTCAGGCACTGTGCTGGCCTGCCCCTGTCACCCAGCAGAATGCACTCAGGCAGTGCCCTGGTCAGCCTAAGTGCAAAGGACCCCTTTAAAAGAAAGACCTCTGCCCACTTACTTTCAGGCTCCTCTCTTTCCAGCTCTCTTTCTGCTCTCTTTCCTGCTGTTCTCTTCTGTCCTCCCCCCCCCCTTCTAATAAAACTTCTCACCAAGCTGTGTCTGCCTGGCATGTTTGTCCTTCACCTCAGTCACCTCGCCTGCCATGGAATCCACCAAGCTCCCCTATGCGCTTTATCATAACAAATGTACTGCCAACGGTACTCTTTTGACGCTAAACCCTAACAATGCTGGCATACCCGAACACGTGATGTATAAAAGTTTATAATCGCCTTCCTCTGGCTCCAAATGCAAATACATTTTGGAGGAATAATACTTTCTTAGCATTAATATTGGAGGAAACAAGTGAGTTGCATCCTTTTCAGAGAGTAATTTGAAAGAAAGAGAAATACTCAGGGATTAAATGGGGGTCAGGAAACAGTTTCTAAAACAAAAATGAAGGAGGCCACTGTATGCATTTTGAATTTCACACTTTTTTTTTCTGGGACTATCATCTGTTAGAACAGAAGCCTCCCAAAGTCAGGGACTTTAGTCTGCTTGAGTTCAAGCTTACATTAGCTTATACTAGCCACTCAGTAAACACTGAATGAATGAACTCTAATTAAAATCTAGATTAGAGGACTCTTCAAATTTTGGAAAGTCCTAAGCATTGCCACAGCAGCCGGCGGAGCTGCACAAAGGGCTACCTTTCTAAGACGTGCACACGGCGCACACACACAGACACATGACACATATACACACATATATACACACATAAACACACACACACACACACACGACACACATACACATACACATATAAACACACACATACACACATATATACACACATAAACACACACACACATACACACACGGTACACACACATACACACATGCACATGGCACAAACACACATGCACACGGCACACACATAAACACATGCACACGGCACACATGCACACACGCATGGTACACACAGGGCACACACACACACACACACACACACACACACTTCCTACTACCCTCTACGGTGGTAGTTGTTCATGGTGGATATTATCAACACTCTATGCTGATGTGGAGAAATGCTTCTGAACCTTTCTTTATATCAAAAGAGCAGGAAATGTCAGCGAGGCAGGCCATCCCAGCCACCATCCTCTCTTGCGTACACTCTTAGGAAATGTTAGCACAGTTGCAACTCCCTTTACTGGTCCCACCTTTCACTCCCTTTGGGAGTGATATAGAATGCCATCTCCGTGATGCTCATCCCCATTTCTCTACCTGGACAACTGCTTGGTGGCACTGAATGGAATTCTAAAGAAATCAAATGCAACATTGGAGAGGGTAGAAAGGACAAAGCAATGTCTCCCTTTGCATTACGGAGTTCCTGTGACTAGCAGGCATGGTGGTTCACATCGTATCTCTAGCGAGAGGCTGACACAGGATTGCTGACAATTCTAGGCCAGCTTGAGCTACATAGTAAGTTCAGGGCTAGCCTGAGCTAACAGCGAGACCCCCATCCCAAAAGGAACAAGCAAAGGAGTTTCTGGGCTGTTTTCTTTTGCAAATGATGCCAACAGCTGAGGCACAATTTATTTTAGAGAGACGCGGACAAGTGCTCTGCCATACAGCCCTTTAAAAAGTCAGTACTCCATGTGTGTCTGTGTATAAATGGGGAACGGCCTATGTTTACCACCTGGAGTCAGTTTGTGTTCCAAACATTCTCAATCTGACTTGGAAAGGGAGGCTTGTGTGCCAAACCAAATGGCCTCCACCCCAAAGCAGGGCAATTGTAGTTGTGAAGGTGGCCACCAGGGGCTGATCTCCTACAACATTTCTACATCTAAAACCTCTGGCTTCTGCTTTTCATCTAACTCACTCTTATGGGCCTGGCAGCCCTCGAAACTCCTGTAATTCACTGTCAGTACTCAACAGCACCAAACACTGTTGACTGTCTTCTCAAAACCATTTCGCTTGGACTCACTGGACAGTGACCCAGCTAAAGCCAGTCTGGTCTCAAGGCCCTCATGCATGCCTTAAAGTAGTTCCCTTCCACAGGACAAGCTACAACACTCACCTCATCCTTAGCTGGACACGTTTTCACAGGAGCCGTGATGAAAAGTAAAGTTGACTGAAAATGAATGAGTATCCTATGACATTTTGTTTTGTTTTCTTGTTTTAATTTTGTTTTGGCTCTGGTTTCCAGGGTTAGTTTTGAACTTGCAGCAATCTTTTCTGCTCACTCTGTCGAGTGCTACAGTTTTGAGTGGGAGCCTCCAGAGCTGCTTGAGGAAATGGAGACAAAAGAGATGAGATGTTGAAAGCAATGTCAATGAAGAGGTCTCTGGAAACTTCCGGTCACATTCCCTCAGCAAATTAACTTATTTAAATATGTAGATAGGGGTTGGAGAGATGGCTCAGTGGTTAAGAGCACTGACTGCTCTTCCAGAGGACCGGGTTCAATTCCCAGCACCCACATGACAGCTCACGACTGTCTGTAACTCCAGTTCCTGGGGACCGATTGCCCATGGCAAAGCACCAATCCACATAAAATAAAAATATTTTTTTTTGTTTTTCGAGACAGGGTTTCTCTGTGGCTTTGGAGGCTGTCCTGGAACTCGCTCTGTAGACCAGACTGGCCTAGAACTCACAGAGATCCACCTACCTCTGCCTCCCAAGTGCTGGGATTAAAGGCGTGCGCCACCAACGCCCGGCTAATAAAAATAAAATTTAAAAATAAATAAATATGTAGATAATGTTAAGGGGGATAAAACACAGGATTTTAAAATGTTAATACTGGTTTCAAATAGGGAAGTAGTCCTAATAACACTAGAAGCACTTCAGAAGTTTGGTTTGTTTTGAATTACCAATGTTCAGACCTCACACCAGATCAATCAGACATGGAACCAGAAGGAATATATCAGAATCCCTGAGGCTGGGCACCTGGTACTGTGTGTTTACTAAGTGTCTCCAGGAATTGTGATGAACAGGAAGGGTTCGAAAGCACTAATAAACATCTTTCAGCATTTGCTACATGAATTTCTTAAATGAGGAAGACAAAGATTAGTAATATCCAATTCCAATTCTCTAAGTCAATAATTCTACTGATCAGATTTAAATAATCAGTTCTAGCATATAATACACAATAACAAAAAATATAATGCTTAGACAAATATAATACTTCATTTGCATGTGCAAGAAGGTTTGCCCAATCTCAGTCTCCAATATATGGAAGAAATGAGGGGCTGGAGAGAAGGCTCAGAGGTTAAGAACACTGACTTCTCTTCCAGAGGTTCTGAATTCAATTCCCAGCACCCACATGGTGGCTCACAGCCATCTGTAATGAGATCTGGCGCCCTCTTCTGGCATGCAGGCATGCATGCAGGCAGAACACTGCTACATGATAAATAAATAAATCTTTTTAAAAATGAATATTTTCAACACCACTCACCATCGGACACCCTGTGAAGACCGAGGAAATGGCTTCCCATCCTCTGATAGCAATCAAAAGAGCCAGAAGTCAAAAGTATCCACTCATGGGCCAGCATGGGAACCACCTGAGTTTCGTTTTACTTATGCATTGGTTCGCTGGTCTGTTTAGCTTATCTAGATGTTCTGTCACAGTGGCTTAGGACTTGGTGGAAGTATTTTTTGTTGTTGTTGTTTCCTTCTACATTATGTCATCCAAAGTTTATGCCTTTAGCAATAAAGTGACTTCCATTCTTGAACAAGAAATTTGAGTTTGTCTCCTAATGGGAACTGTACTCAGAGATCAAGTTCAAGGAGAGCAGGATGGCTCTGTGGTCTCTAAAATGAGATATGAGGGGCAGATAGGGAACATTATTGCTATGACAGCAAGTGGTTCTGGGGAAATGTCAATGCCTGCTTCTGGACTGTGGAAAGAGCTGCTCTTCACTTCACGGACACTAAACAACCATAGTGCCCATTCATTTTCATTCTTTTCTTCTCTTTTTTTCCAGCTTAGGATGCCTTTGGAATCATGTACCTAGCAAAAATATGCTCAGGGGAGCAAAAAAAAAAATCAGTGAAAACTAATTTAAGAGATACCTTGCAGCCGGGCGGTGGTGGTGCACGCCTTTAATCCCGGCACTCAGGAGGCAGAGGCAGGCGGATCTCTGTGAGTTCGAGGCCGGGATGGACCTCCAAAACAAAACAGAGAAACCCTGTCTCGGAAAACCAAAAAAAAAAAAAAAGAGAGAGATATCTATATTGCCTATGAGAAAATATGAATTGTTATATAGAAATCCAAGGCTCAGCTTTTCAATATGAAATAAGAGTTTTTGAGCCTTGACCAGTTAGTCATGCTGAAAGCTGGGCTTGGCTAGTAAAAGGCTTTCAGAATCTTGAGATGAAGCAGGGAAGAGCATGAAGCCTTCAGGGCACCCCAAAATTCCCCGCAGAAGTCACTACCCCAAGGAGATGAGAGCATTTTAACAGAAAGAGGCCAAATCTAGTCTTTCAGTTAGTAGAGTTAGGTCACACACCGACACACACATGCTCGCCTACACCCACCCCTCTTACCTTGGAGAGGAAGGACACAAGGAACATCATGTCAGCCCCAGAAAATGCAACAGCAGATTTTCTCGTGTCTAGAAATAGTCACATGTGGTTATCCTCAAACCCCAAATAACGGCCTGGTTTGATCTGAACTAAGACCAATTTTCTGCACAGGAGATAAGGGGTGAGACTGAACCGGAGTGACAGTCCTTTGCTGTCTGTGCTCTGAGACATCAGTATCACAGGGCAAGACCTCGGGAACATCAGGGGTTGAGCAAAAACGGTTTCCATGGATACATGGAAGGAAGAATAACTCAGAGGGCCCCAAGTGTGATCTCTGAGTGACAGCACTTCACATTTCTAAACCTAACAAGTCCATGTGACTCCTTCAGGCAGATAATTTCAACCCACGCTGGGACGAGGCCGTTGTGTGGACACCGTCGGTGAGAGGTGTATGAAATAAGTGATTAATTTCCAAGTGTAGAAGAAGCACATTTGTTATATTTAGGGATTAAAAAGGGAACAACTCATTCTGTAAATGGGGGAAGAGAATAAAAATCTCTGCCCCAGAATTCTATGGCTACCCCAAGCCTCACAGGCCAGTAATAGAGTATTAGCAACTGATTCCTCTCTGCTGGAAAATACTGACTCCTGAGCCTAGAAATGAAACTCAGCTAAGAAGCATCACTTAACTGTTAGATACAGTTTTTCAGTCAATGTGGACCAAGTAGTTTCAATGTGCCGAGCACAGAGGTGGGGCACACAGCTGAGCAACGCATGATGCTGCCTTCAATTAAGGAACAGCCGAGCAGGGTTGAGAATTAAGGAACAGCCGAGCAGGGTTGAGAATTAAGGAACAGCCGAGCAGGGTTGAGAATACAGGCCCACGATTTAATATGCTGCGACGTATAATGTAGAGTAGGTACAAGACACTAGAGCAAGGAAATAAATCTTCTCACTGAGGACTTACAGAAGAAGTCCTTTCTTTTCTGATGACCATTAATGCTGGGATAGGTCAGAACCACTTCTCAAATGACTTCCTGCAGCCCCGAGTCATCTAGGAGACATCACGAAAGGCAAGGGTACATTAACAAGTGTGGCGGCCCATGCCCATAACCACACAAGTCAAGAGGCTGAGCCAGGAGGCTTGGGAGTTTGGATAAACTTGGCTTACATAATGAGATGCTGTGTCACGAAAACCAAAGAAGCAAACAATGCTGCTGTTAGACTCAATTCAGTGTTGCTAGGAACGGAAGCCCACCTAGAGATAACTTGTCATTTACTTTTGACAGAGTCTCACACAGCCCAGGTTAGCCTTGAACCTTGATCCTTCTGCCTCCACGTGGCAAGTGCAGAAATTACAAGTATACTACCGCCTCCAAAGCCACAGAGAAACCCTGTGTCGAAAAACCAAAAAAAAAAAAAAAAAAAACCAAGTATACTACCAAACTTGGCTAAATCTTTCCTTAGCAATTCAACTGTATGTACACATACACACGCACACACACACTCACACACCCACACACACAGATTTTTCTTTCCTTTAAAAATCTATGAAAATATTCAAAGAGAATGAACTTAGTTTATAATCTTATTTTTACTTGGAGCTAGCAACAGCAGCAGCAACAAACAAACAAACAAACAAAAAAACCTTGGTATGTCCACTCCAGGTCAAGAAAAAAATATACTGCCTTAAATATTTACAACAATTGATGATACTTAAAAGTTTCTTGCCAAGCTATAAATGCCAAATATTCTTGCTCCTAATGCGGCCACTGGATTCTAGAATAATAAGAAGCTGGCTGTTTGGTTTATAAGTAAGCCAAAGTTAAAGATTTACTGCATATTGCATGAAAACCCAGTAGCTGGTACAAGCTGGTACCATCTATTTATTACTGATAGGAGAAACTAGACACGCCTACTAGGAGCAAATAGTGACATGATTCTGTGGGTATACATGAATACCCAGGGAAATATACTTGAGCAGGTTGGACACGTCACTTCATCACAATGACAATAGGTTCCTCACTAAGAGAGCACTGCATTCTCTAGACCAGTGTCTCTTCACAGAGGGCAACTTTGTTCCCAGGGCATATTCCGCATGTCTGGAGATATTTTCTGTTGTTGAGAAGGAGGAAATAAGCCTGTCTTTCCATCCACTTCTGTAACCTCAGCTCTTACGGGGGGTGAGGGAGAGAGACAGGGTAGAGGAAGGAGGATCATGAGTTCAAGGTCATCCCTGGCTACATAATAATAAATTCAAGCTCTCTGTACTAGCGTGCTGTTAACTGTCAAACCATCCCTGTAGATCCGCCCCTACCATAGTTTTTGAGGTAGAATCTCTCCCAGGGACCTGGAAGTCACCAAGTAGGCTGGGTTGGCTGGCCAGAGAGCCCTACAGATCTGCTTACGGGTCCTGCCCCAAGCTTTCAGGCACATTCGCCACGCCCACCTTTTTAGAAACCTGCACTCCAACATGAGTTGCCATGACTGCAAGGTAAACACTTTACTGCCCGAGCCACCACCCTAGACCAAACTTCAGAATGTTCAGCTGCCTCCTCTCTCACCCCTTATCGCTGCAAGGCTCCTTTGATACAGAGCATAGAGCTACTACCTCTGCCTACCCCCATGTGACCGCAGTCAGACTTCAAGACACCCTCTTCTGCTAGCTTTCCAAGACGCAGCGTGCTGTCTCAGTGCGATACTTTTGTTTGTGTTGTTTCATCGTTAAAGGCTTTAAAATTTTATTTCTATGTACATGAATGTCTTACCTGCGTGTAAATATATGCACTATTTGCGTGACTGGTGCCCCTAGAGGCCAGAAGGGAGCATTACATCCCCTAGAACTGCAGTTAAGGATGGTTAGGAGCCACTGCGTGGGTACCGGAATCCAACCTGGGTCCTCCACCAGAGCAGAAAGTTCTCTTAGCCACTGAGCCATCTCTCCAGCCCTGTGTTGTGTCATCTTTTATCAACCCCGTTTCACCTGACTACAGTCCACGTCTCCTTCTAGATCCTACCATAAGGCCATCACCGTGAAGCCCTTCCCCATTTCATCCTCCCCGACTCGGAGCACTTCTTAACACGTCCTCATTAGCTTAGGGTATCCTATTGCACCCAGGGGTAAAACTGCAACCACTTAAAAGCTGGTCCCTTGGCCCTAGTCGTCTAGGAAGCAGACGGATAAATTTATATGCTAACATGATCAAAGCTGCCTCTACCACAGCACCATATCACAAGAAAGGATGTTATCCAACAGTTATCAGTTGATGATGGTGACATCATCACTCACAAATGTGGAATTCTCTAGCGTCCAGCACAGAGGAGGGAAGGGGGAGGTAGACTTTCTTTCCAGTTCAGCAGGAAGTCATAGGATGGCAGGTTGTCAAGGGGGTGTGGAACGCAGAGATGGGTTGTCGTGATCACTTTGAATATCAAACTCATCTTTCAGACGAATGCCACACCTTTACACACCTTCACCAACCCAGCGGTACACCGACTTGGAACCTTCATCTGCGTCTCCACCTCTCCCGGCCGTCTCACTAACCATCACAAGGCAGCCTATCTCTGGACATGCGGTATAGACAGAGTGACCTCCAGTGAAACACTCAGCAATTGTGAGTCATATTTACAATCAGAAATCTGGAATATTCCTGGTGCTGATGCTGAGGGCTGGTCTCAGGCTTATACTGAACACTTGAATTTTACAAGAAGGTGTTGACATATGTCTTCAATCGAAGCTATTTCTTTTAACAGTCTTTGTTGTACAGTTCATTTCTAGTGAATCTTGCCACCATAAGCCCTCTGCATTGGAGCTGAGTCAACAATCAATACAACTGGATTAGGAAAGGGCCAGAGGTTCATGACAGTGCTACAAATGGCAAGAGACCCTTCTTCCCATGCCCACAGCATCTAAGAGAGAGAGACAACCCCAGTGCTTGTCAGTTGTTGTTGCTTTTTTTATATTTGAATGGTACTCCACCATAGATACTTATAAATTTACATGTTTGAATGTAAATTTCTTCACATTAATACACTGACAAGCACTGAGGTTGTTTCCCTCTCTTAGATGCTGTGGGCATGAAATCAAAGATTTCTGTATGTGAAATAAACCAGACACAGGAAGAGAAGAATGATCTCATTCACATGTAGGTGTGTGTGTGTGTGTGTGTGTGTGTGTGTGTGTGTATGGTTCTGTCTCTCTCTCTGTGTGTATGTTTGTCTGTGTGTCTTGTATGTATGGGGGTCTATATATCTTTGACTGTGGCGTACAACAGACGTCAACATGTCTTCCTCAGCTGATCTCCATCTCAGTGTTTTTAAGCATGCTCTCCTGCCTAACCTGGAGCTCTTTAATCTGCCTCCACTGGCTGGCAATGACCTGGGGAATCATCCGTTTCTACCCCACCAGCCATCCTGCAGCCACAGACACCCTGCTATGGGTTCTGAATATCCAAGTTCATGTCCTCGTGCTTATAGAACCTTACAAAGAAATGAGATACACACAAGCAGAGACCAGAAGCCTGGTTATTAAGTTCAAGAGGACAGAGAGATGAGAGGCTTAAGTTAAAGGTTATAAAGCTGTAGTTATATAGAATGAATAA